GCGGCGGTTCCCTCGAATGAGGAGTGGCAGGTCCCACATGCTCGGCCCCTCGCAAACCCGATGCTCGGTTGAATGTACCGCGTTGAACTCATCCCAAAGGAGCTCCTCCACGGGGACATGGAGGACCGTGTCTAAGACGGAAGGGGGGGGGGGGAAGTATGTAGTAAGACTGATGGGAGCAGCCTGAGAGAATATACTTTCTCCGCCTTGAATGTGGAATTGGCAATTCTCCGTGCAACGTGATAGAACGGACCGATGTGGTTGGTCTTATCACCGACCTTTGTAGAATGATAACCATTTGAAATGAAAAAGAGTCCAATGACTCTCAGGAAATTGAAAACCAATCGTATTGAGACGATACCGACTGGGCGCCTCCCGCGGTGCTGCGGGGGATTTTGGGGATTGGCTGCTAATAAAAGGTAATGTTTGCCTGGTAATTACCAAAACGGTATCAGTTGCACGCCTGCAGGCCTGCACGCCAAGTACATAGCCCAATGATTGTTATTCCATAGTACGGAGAACGGAGTAGATCAATCTGTCCAGATTATCTTCGACCAGGGAGCCTCCTTTCTTCCAATTTGTCTTCCAATTCTTCTTCCCAATCATTCATTCATCTATCCCCCCCCATCATCTACATTCTACTACCTTCCCATCGGACCCTTCTTCCAATCAATCTTCCTCCGCTCCGCCTCTCCGCCTTTCCGCCTTTGCCCCCCCTCCTTCAACCCCCCCCAATTTTTGGATTTGAAAAAAAAGTGCCCGCGCCTTTTCTCATTCACGTCAACAACCCACGAAACCCAAGATTTAGTTGTCGGAAATTGATCGTCACGGCCTGTTGCTCCTCAAGCAACCCTGCAATGGTCCAAGCAACTGGCGAAGAGCGCGCTGCACACCTGGCACGGGAGGCTGTTGAGTTGGTTGATGCTGGCCACCGCGAGGTACGAACTACTTCTCTTAGCTGTATTATCGCAGCATGATCACCAGTGTGATCTAAACCTACTACTACCACTGCTCCTCCCTTTTTTCCCCCAAAATTTACTAATACTAAAACCGTTCCTCTCTAGGCCGCTTCACGAAACCTCCGAGAAGCCCTTTCCATTGCCCCCGAAAACTCCGAAGTCAAAGCCGCTTTCCTCAAAATCCAACAGGAAGAGGAAAATGACCATCAGCTGCTAAACCTCTGCCGTCGTTACACCACCCGTCAAGATGACTCCGCCGGGAAGGAGGCCGCTGCTTATCTTCGCACGGACGGCCTGAAACCACCCGAGAATGTGGCGCTGGAGTCGCTGAAGCTGTTGCTGGCAGAGCCGGCACATGCCCTTACTGACATGCAGGATGAGATCATCTCCGGGCTCGTGCGACAGAGCGTCAGTGTTCGACAATACTTCTCGACTCAGCTTCAGATTTCCGTGACTACTTTTTTCGATGAGATCTACGATCGCGGTGACGGGGCCGCCGTCTGTCTGGATACTGTCGTGCTTGATCCCACCGTATGGCCGTCCGAGAGTACACGGTCCCACTGTGAGGATGAGCTGTTCCAACTGTTTCTTGCGAAACTAATGGAGTCGGGTCACGATCTGGACGGTCGTTCTTTGAAGGGAATTACAAGACTACTCGCGGTTGACGCGGAGCGACTGCAGAATCTCATCGACGACGAGGGATTCGAGGTGATCTTGACTTCACTGGACAATCGATTGCCACTAGAACTGCGCAGCCAGGCAACCCTGGCTACTGCAAAGTACCTGGAAGTTTCCCAAGATGCGGGCGCAAAGAAATTCTCCGCCTTGATTGCGGCCATGATTGCCAAGGGTCGTCTCGACGATCTCATCATTGCATTTTCGGCTGTTGCTGCCGTCTTTCCCGTGGCACCTGCCGCGGCCGCCAGTGTGTTCCTGTCCGACGAATTGATGAATGCCCTGAAACCCCTCGCGACGCGAGAGGCGAAACGCCGAAAGGTGGAGATCTCCGTTTTGGATCTCTTGAATGCAGCATGCATCAACCGCCCTTCCCGTGAGGCAATTTCCAAGAACTTTTCGGAGTGGCTCTCCCACACCCTGACAAACGGTAGCGACGAAGGCTCCGAATTGGCGGCCGTGGTGCTAGCGAAGATCCGGGCATCCGAGACAACTAAGTCCGAGGAAAACGGTAAGATCCTGGAGGAAGACAGTGTCTCTGAGTTGGTGGAACGATTCAAGGGACTGATGTCTGAATCCAAGGTCGAGAATATTTCGCACGCCATTGAGGGATTGGCCTATTCCTCCGTCAAGCCCTTTGTCAAGGAGCAATTGGCTAATGATTCGACATTCATGCGGGACCTGGTCGCAGTTTTGAAGAAGCACACCATCGATTCTTCTCTGCTTTACGGTGGTCTCATGGTCATTTTCAATCTCACAAAATTCCTTCCCAACCTCTCCGATGAACAGCAGAAAATGGGCCAGTTGAAAGACTACGCGGATGCCTCGGCGGGTAAAACTAAAGCCAAGGCCAGTACCCCCGATCCTCTAGATCAAGATGAGGCCGTGCTTAATCGCTGTGGCTTTGTTATCGATGCCGGTGCCATGTCTCTCCTAGTGGACTGTGGCCGACTTTCTACGCCCTCAATTCACGACCTGACGGCTAAAATTGTTCTGGCCCTGGCGCGGGTTCAAAAATCACGGGGTGCTCTCGCCCAACAGGGCGCAGTCAAGTTGTTGCTCAGCCTGGCAATCCCGAAACAAGGTAGTCCCGCCCTTGCAACCGAAGCAACTCAAAATGCATCTCATGCACTAGCCCGGATCCTTATCTCTATCGATCCTGCGCACGTCTTCCCTCGTCCGGCTTTCCACAAATCACATCCGCCGTACGACCTTTGCTTTCCCTTTTGTCTTCACCCGAGTCTGCCAGCTTTTCGGTGGATCAGCCTCGTGATCTGCTCCCCGTCTTCGAGAGCTTACTCGCTCTGACCAACCTGGCATCTTACCCACATGACGAATCCCCGGCCGAACTTACTGTCCGGGAAGGATGGGCCGCGGTGGAGGATCTCCTCTTATCCAGCAATTCTCGTGTGCAGCGGGCTGCGTGCGAATTGGTCTGCAACCTGATGACCTGCGAGTCCGGAATCGTGAAGTTCGCCGACGGCTCGAAGCGCGCAGCGCAGAGACTCCACATCCTCCTTGCTCTGACCGATGCCGATGATATCCCGACTCGACGAGCCGCCGGGGGCGCTATCGCTATGCTCACAGAATATGACGCGGCCGTGGCGGCTGTCCTGGATCGACAACGCGGTGTCGATCTCCTGCTTGGTCTGTGCCAGGAAGATGATGATTCCCTTGTTCACCGCGGCATTGTATGTGTGCGCAACCTGACCTTTGCGGCATCCGGTGACATTGGTACTCGTGCCAAGGCCGCTGTTCGGGCCGCTGGTGGTATCGATATCTTGACGGCGTGCCTCAAGGCGACGAAGAACCCAGCCGTGCTACAGGCTGGCGTGGAGGCATTGAAGCCATTAGTTCAAGACCAGAAGTAGCGCGAGAGTCCTTTTCCCTAGCGCATGAATTGCTTTTTGATAGCTGTTTTGTTCTTGCGTGAAGATTCACCGGCGGAGTTTAGCTTTCTTGTCTCTATCTTCTTTTTCTTTTTTTGATGCCCCCGCACTTGATCATGAGAACATCATTCGGTTTAGCGATGCTTTGCTTTTTTTTCTTTTCTTTTCTTTGATTTTCATTTTCATTTTCTCTTTCACTTTTTTTCCTTTTTCTTTTTCTTTTTTTCCGTTTTTTTTCCGGGGACTTGGATTCGGGGCGTTTGTTGCTCGAGGTGATGTACAGATTCAACACTAGCATTTGAATTATGATGATTTCAGCCGTGATAGAAAGTATGAATGAGTCTTGATGAATTATGCTTTAAAGTAGTACACTAGCATACAAGTAAAGTAACTTTATAAGTGTATTGCTATTTATGGCATGCAGGAGAGATTGCATCATCGTGCCCCGAGCATATACATGCAGTGGCAGTGGCACTTGGGCAGGAAGGTCAGGCGACAATTGACTTGCTTCTCTGGGCATCTTTTCTTTCCTTCCTCTTCTCCTCTCCTCCTCTCCTCCTCTTCTCCCCCTTTCTTGGTTTCCCCATTTCTTTCCAGATGCTCTCCCTTGCAGAAGCATAATGAGCGAAAGTCACGATGCTACCGGGATCACCAGGCCGAGAAGCCTCGGGGCATCCAATGTGGAGACCGCTAGGGCTGGGGTGTTACTCCAGAAAAACGCCCCAAAGCTAAGCTAGGTCAGCTAGTCACAAGATCGAAGAGCAGACCGCTCAGTGGACCAGGTACTCTCGGTACTCTGTATAGATGAATTGACGCACCTCTATACAGGGTACGGAGTACCTGATATACTATCCCATTATCCGGTGGCAACCTTACCCTAGGGACAACCCGACCCACGGCAAACAATTTGATGGAACCCCGCGGATCGACAAATCACCGCCAGCCACCACTGCACACCTCACAACCGCTCGCAACCGTTCGCAACCTCCCCATTCCTCCAATTCCCACCAACCTTCACGTGGCCAGGAGCTCCCGTTGATTCCTTCTCTCCCGATCCACTTGCACCTCTCCTTTTCGGGATTCTTTACCAGTCGCCTCTTTCACCTCTTTCTCCTCTTTCACCGCTTCATCATTCCTTTCCCCACCCCACACTTAAACAGGTACAGTCGGCCTTTTTGAGCCCCCGATCTTTTTTTTCTTACACCATTATCCTTCCCTTCAAAACCTCTTCCTCCCCCCCCTTTTCCCTAATGGCGCCCATAATCTCCTGTGTGCGTCCGCTCACCTGATCACTCTCTGTGACTCTCAGGCTGGACGTTTCATTCTTTATTCGACCTCTTTACCTCTCCGCGTTTGGGGCCAAACTCAAAATCAAAGGGAAGCGGTGGGATTGAAAAGAACACCCATCACCTACATCCTACATCCTCAGCGTGTGTGTATACAGAGGGCCTGGCAATAGTGCCCTATCACCGTCAACATGAAGTTTGGTCGCAATCTACCCCAATTCACCGTCCCCGAATGGAGCGCCCATTACATCAAGTACAAGGCCCTGAAAAAACTTATCAAGTCGGCCGCGGAACAAATCAAGGCGGGCCAAGAGGCGGACCTGGCCGGTAAGCGCGATGCTTTGTCGATTACGAAGCTCCCTTGCAATCCCTCGAGCACCTTCTAACCACGATGTGCCGTTTCTTCGGCTGGTTCGTTCGGTATAGGTTTCTTTTACTCTCTCGATCGAAATGTTGAGGACGTCGACTACTTTTACAACAAGAAATATGCCGAGTACGCCCGTCGCCTGAAACTGCTGGAGGATCGATATGGATATTCAATGGAGGGTAATCACCCATTGGAGGCGGAGGAGAGCCATGATCTGCGCGAAGCCCTGTTGGACCTGCGCTATCACCTGCGCCGCTTACAGTGGTACGGTGAGGTCAATCGCCGCGGTTTTGTCAAGATCACCAAGAAGCTTGACAAGAAGGTCGGGGCCCAGGCGCAAAAGCGTTATCTCGAGACCAAGGTGGACCCCGTTCCCTTTGCCTCGAACGCGCGTGCTATCAAGTCCCAGGAACGTATCAACGCCTGGATGGCTATCATCACTGACAACGCTAAAACGGAGGAGAAGCTGTTCGATGATTCCAGCTCTACTCACTCCTCTCTGTCGCTGAAACGTGGTCCTACACGTCCCTACTTGAACCTGCCCTCTACCGTGCTGACTGCAGTGGATGACTCTTTGAGAAAAGATGATACCCATGTTCTTCTGGAGCTACTTGAAACTCTCAAGAACGCCGCCGATGATGCAGGCGAGGGTGTCTTTATGAAGGTTCTCAAGACCCTCATCCAACGTGCCATTCTTCACCGTGCCAAGGCTAGTCTGACTGCTCTGCTGAGTCGCGTTGACACTCTGGAGGAGGACGATGACATCAATCGCCGTAGCTGTCTGCACCGCCTCGTTATTTCGGTCGGTCGTGAACAGTCAACGAGCGACTCCGAGCCTGCCGCATCCATGGTGCTCGACTTCCCTCCCGAGACATCTCGTTACATTACTCCTGCTGCGCCGCCGACCTTGCAACCCCCTCGATCTGTGGTCAAGGAAGAGCACATGCCACAGCAGCTTAGTCGTGATGACTCGGCGGTCGCTATCTTGCAACATCTCCTTGATAATTTGCGCCCTGATCAACGAGAGTCTTTGATGACAAAGGATCTCTCTGGACGTACCCCACTGCACTATGCCGCCCAGTATGGCTTCAAGGTGGTTTGTGAAGTCATCATTGAGCACCTGCGGGCTTGGGACATGTTTGACGTCAGAGAAGGCATCGATGGCCCTTTGTGGCAGGACGAGGATGGTTGGGCACCCCTTCATCTGAGTGTGGTTGGTGGTCACCCAAAGACCACCCGCTGCCTTCTGGATGCTGAGAACTGGAGAGAGACCCACGGTCATTCCGATCAGGTCAGGAAGCAGGTATCCAAGTCAAGCGCCGTTCTTGCTCTTGCAACAAAGGCGAATTTTGTCGACATTGTGCAGCTACTGGTGGAGGCCGGTATTGATATCAACTACCAGGATGAGCAGGGCGAGGCAGCTCTGCATGTCGCGGCCCGCTTTGGCCATGACGAATGTGCGCGAATCATCCTGGAAGGCTCCGACTACCAAAAGGCCAATACCGAGTTGCCTGAGAACACTTATGGCTGGACGCCTCTCTTCATCGCATGTGTTGATGGCCAGCTAGGTGTGGCCAAGCTGCTTGTTGCCGCTGGAGCAGACCTGGAGCGCTTTGATTCATCTGGCTGGACGGCCAAAGAACATGCCGCACTACGAGGTCACCTCGAGATCGCGCGGTGTTTAGCTGAAGTCAGCCCCGGAGCCCCGATTCCCGAACAGGAGCCTTCGCCCTCGATTCCCAGCAATACACCTTCCCCGTCGGGCTCTCCGCCCACCCTGTCTTCTCTGACTGATCGACGGTCCAATGCCCCCGGAACTACCTCTGCCGGGAGTCCTGGTTTGCGAAATACTGAACCTATTAAGACATTTGGACATCGGTATCTTACCGACGAGACCATGATTCTGGTCAGTCTGGGAACGATGGACATGCGAAAGCCCCTGGAGACCGTCAACCTTGATAGAATCCCCATGGAGAATGCGCATGCGACCCAGCTGAGACACAGCGCTGTCCCTGGTGGTTACCGCCAGTGGCGCTCATGGCGAGCCAGAGGTCATTGATCTGCCCGTGCAGGACAACATCTCCACTGAGCCAATCGTGTTCCACACCACTGATGCTAGTAAAGTGCGTCTGCTTTTCGACCTTGTACCCACCTACTCTGGATCCAAGGAGAAGGTTGTTGGTCGCGGTGTTGCACTACTTTCCAGCATCAAGCCAACCGTGGGATCGCAGCGTATCAACCTCAAGGGAGATTCCACCGTTCCCATCGTGGCGGCGAACACTCTGGACGTGATCGGGTCGGTGACCTTCAACTTCTTGGTCATTACCCCTTTCCAGCATCCCAACATGTCGATCAAGGGAAATCAGACCTACTGGCGATCCATGAGTTCGACTATGGTCATCGGTCACCGTGGTCTTGGTAAGAACATGGCTAGTCGCAATTCGCTCCAGTTGGGTGAAAATACCATTCAGTCTTTCATCGCCGCGGCTAACTTGGGCGCATCCTACGTCGAGTTTGATGTGCAACTTACCAAGGACCATGTCCCTGTCATTTACCATGATTTCTTGGTCAGCGAAACGGGCATCGATGCCCCAGTACATACTTTGACATTGGATCAATTCCTGGAGCTCGGCAAGGGAAGACACCGCAATGCCTTGCCCGAGAGCGTGGATGCCAATAGAGATTCCAGTATTCCTCCTCGACAGCGATCGATGTCCGTCGGTGGGTCCCTATACGACCCGGCTGAATTGACCGAGAAGATCAAGCACACTCGTGATTTCAAAAAGAAGGGTTTCAAGGGAAACACCCGTGGCGAGCATATCCAGGCACCTTTCGCGACACTGGAAGAACTTTTCAAGAAGATCCCTACACCTGTTGGGTTTAACATTGAGCTGAGTGAGTCCTAACTGCCATCCAAAGAACAGCTACATTTCGACGATCTAACCAAGGTCGCCAGAATATCCCATGCTCCACGAGAGTGAGGAAGAAGAGATGGACACATACGCGGTCGAACTGAACTCGTTTGTCGACACCGTCCTCACCAAAGTCTACGACATGGGCCAGAACCGCGACATTCTGTTTTCTAGCTTTAACCCCGACATCTGTCTCATCTTGTCCTTCAAGCAGCCCTCCATCCCAGTTCTCTTCTTGACTGATGCCGGTGCTTCGCCTGTCGGTGATATTCGAGCCAGCAGTCTGCAAGAGGCCGTTCGGTTCGCGTCACGCTGGAACCTCCTCGGCATCGTCTCCCAAGCGGAACCTCTAGTCCTTTGCCCCCGTCTAGTCCGCATTGTCAAGGAATCCGGTCTCGTCTGCGTCTCCTACGGCATGCTGAACAACGACGGTGTCAACGTTGACGTGAGTTCTTACCACAGTCCCCATCAGAAATGAAATCAGCGACTAACTGATATTTTTCAAATATAGTACCAAGTCGCGGAAGGCATCGATGCTGTTATCGTCGACTCCGTCCTCGGAATCACAAACGGCCTAATCCAGCGCCAAAACAAGGGCGAGCGCACCCCGGCCCCTCGCCGAACCCCACCCCTGTGGGTGACAAGGGCGGCGCCATCAGGGTTCCGGTCCTCGAGCAAGCGAAGAAAAACACCGCTGACTCGAGACTGAACCCTGCCTCTATTCTTTGAGCTTGAGCTTCATCTTCAGCTTGAACATGTCATGGTTTGCATTCCTTACATACTTGCATTCTTGTGTCCATAGTCGCATGCGGCTTTTGTCGGCTTCAACAGCAAATATCGATATCAATATCATTATTGTTTTTGTTGGTTGGATTTAGTTAGTATAGTAGTTTGTGGGGGAAATCGTTTGTTGTAACTGTTGGATGTCTATAGTTTACGATTTGGTGGTAGAAAAGAAGAAAACATACTTCGTAAATGGACAGTAAGCTGTTACAGGCTTGAGAGAACCTCAGTGACGATTGATGAGTTGAACTCTGCTATTTAGATAGCTTTCATCTCTATTTGACACTATGCAGCATTCTCGACCGCTCCCCGAGCCAGTGCTTCCCGTCTGCTCGTGCTCTTGGGGTCCAGATACGGCCGCTCGCCCAAACCAACAGCCCGATGACCCCTGCGAGGACCAATCTCTTCATAATCCCAAGTCGCTGCATGATAAACGGATCGGTTATCCCAAATAGCTAATCATGAATTAGAAAGAGTACTAACATCCAAACCATGCGGGGGCAGACGACTTACCAAGATCATTGGGATTCTGCCAACGCAGACGAACTTGCAAGTCATGATTCTCAACAATGAGATTAACAAACCAATTAAGAAGATGGTTACTTTCCTCCTCAGTCACCCCATTGACCTTCTGAACGTGCGATCCCACAGCAAAAACACTCTTCCACCCCGTGACGGGATTCGTCCGGATAACGGGGTGTTCGGCGCGTAGCTCTTCGCCGACATTCTCAGGTGCACCTCGTGGACCCGGGTGGATCTTGAAGTTATTTCTATCGGCTACTTGGTTGAATCTGGGCTGGGCGTATGTAGCTGTGAGTCCTTCTAGGAATTTCTGATAGGGCTCTGAGAGGCGGTCGTAGACCTCGTATCCGGATGCCCAGAGCGTATCTACATAATTTTGTTAGTATTTTAAGAGCAGAGCGAGCGGGTTAAAGCAAATTGAAGTCGCTTACCACCACCGGTCTTTGGGAGCTCAGTCAGACGCAGAAGTGTATAGTCACTGGGGATAGGCTCGAAGGTTATATCGCTATGCCATTCCCGTCGGGCAGTTTGTTTGCGGGCATTACGTTCAAAGTATAGCGTCTTTCGCTGCTCAGAGCTAATAACGCTAATCTCATCGTCTGCAACACTGCCATCACGACCTGAGTTGGCGACAGGGTGAATATGCAAGCCGGACGTCTTTGGCTTTCCCGAAAGCTCGCCGAGACGTTGGACGAGCTCCTTCTGCAGATTATCATCTAGACCATCTTGCTTGCGGAAGAAGACGACGCCTCTTTGGGAGACTTTTGATGGGAGTTATGTTAGTCGTTGAATACCAATATAGAAGGTTTTGTACTGTGCTCAATACTGACTGGTAGCAGAAAGGTCGCGGAGTAAATCATCCGAGTTGGGAGCTCGGAGGAAGTCTTTCAGGCTTGCGTTTGGAAATTCTCGCCCAATTACTGGGGTCACATCAAAGGACTCAAATGCATCTAGGGGCTCCGCTGAGCTTGATGGGGGCTCTTTCAAGTCCTTTCAAGGTGATTTTGCTGTCTTCCGCAATGGGAACGACGGGTGTCGTTTCGGTAAGAGAGGGAGCCATGATGGAGTATATTCGAATGGTGGAGATTACTGCACTGGATCATCACAACGCAAGAGAAATGTGCATTCTTTTTATACCAGTACACCATGAAGGCACTAGATATTCATCATTTATCTCATGCCGGTTATCTGGGCGTATGAGCATAGAACCCCGCGAAAAACCATCCGCAGATGTCGAATACTGAGGCCCAAAGCACGAATGCGAGGGCTTGAGTATATTAAATCTCCGGAACTTTTGCTACGATTTGGTAACATATGCTTGAGGATTCGCCATTCGCTTTGCGAATCGTGTCAGATTCGTCATCCAGGGTTCTCTCGAATCAGTTTGCGGGGTATGGTACTAGTAGTAAGATATCCTAAACTTGAACGTGGTGCAACATCTTGCAGTGATTACGAATAGAGACCTTATCGTCGGAAGGTTTAAATATAATATCTTTGGGATCTCATTTGTTTTCCGCTGCCGCTGAATTCTTGTTAGGGTGACAGTTGGCGGCGAGGGCCGCTACTCGGATCACGCCATGCTAGATCTAGATCTCTCAACTGCCACATGGTAACTGTAAAGTATAAGGAATTAGGCGATAGCCGTAGCCGAGAGAGCTATATATTTGCGCCTAAACTGAGTATTAGCGAATTATTTAACGTAAGGTTCACATGTCGTTTACTACAGTTACGTCAACTTTTCTTCTGGCTGAAAAAAGGCCCCCAAGACTCAGTGCATCTAGGTTATTATCGAAGTTCAATCCGAATTTATTGAATAGACAGAACTATCTATAGTAAATGCGTTACTATTCAATTCAGTACTACTCGATCAAAGAGCTTTGATAGGAAAATTTCCTATTCTCAAAGATTTGGCCTTTGTACATGGATTGGGTAACCTCCCACCTCTAGAGACTTTTGGAGGCCGCGAATTCTCTCCTCCGTAACCAGGAAAGAAGGTGGGAAATCGCTACTCGAACGGTCACCGACAACCATTGCAGCAACGGCCTGAGATGTCCTAAAGGCTTTGATCATCCCAGTAGCGTGAAAAGCACCACAAACCCACTGATGTTTACGCCCGGTAAAAGGCAGGCGACCCGCAAATGGGACACCATCCTGAGTAAATGCCACGATTCCAGACCCCTGTCGATCGATATGAGAAGATGAACCCGCAGGTGCAGATTCAAGAGCTTCTTCGGCAAATCCACGCAGATGCTGCATCGGCGCGATGTCCGTTATGCTATCGTTAGCTGTTGTTTTGCGCCCAGTACATGCACGTCCGACGACAAGGCCTCGATCATTGCGCTGAATGAGATAATCGTAATCCTTTTCGCCGTATCGTAGCCAGAGAGAATATTTGCTATCCAAATTGAATGGCGATTTATCGACAATGCTCAAATTCGAGTCATCTGATAGAGCTCCAAAGTGCACTACATTGACTCGGACAGGGGAGACGAATGGTCGAAGTTCTGGAATGAGATGGCCAACCCATGCATTCTCGGCATGGATCACGTTTCTGGCTTTCAATTCGCCCCGGTCAGTGCGGACAACGGCATATTCAGAGGTTTCAACGTCCAGAATAGAAGTGACTGTTGTGTTTGTCTGAACGTTGATCTTTTGGGTATCGATGAGGCCTCCTAGAACGCCAGTGATCCACTTATACGGCCATACCGACGCTGATGGAACACCGATAGCCCCCACACAGCGCGAAGACAGTTTCATTTCGCTCTGTAGTAGGGTGAGATCGGTGTATACTTTGTGTTTGGCCGCCAGTCGGGGAATATGCACTCGCATCTCCTCGAGGGCCTTCACAGCTCGATCAAAGGTGGGTCGATCATAGTAAGCTTCCACCCCCTCCGTCAGGACCAAATCCGCGTCAATACCGTCTTCGATCATTGCGGCTTCCATGGCCTCCAAGTGACTGTCTTCAAACAAAGAGATTCGAATTGCTTCTTCAAGGCCGAAGATCTTCTTTCGTTCCGCCCACATCGCAAAAGTCATCGTCTTGATGTGACCACCATTTCGACCCGTGGCTCCAGCACAAAGTTGTCGTGAATCGACGAGCACGATATCGAGTCCTAAGTTTCTTTTGACAAGTGTGCGTGCGAGAGTCATGCCTGAAATACCGGACCCAATTATAACCACGTCGACGATACCCTTCGGCCAGGCCGATTGGTGATTGGCATGCTTGTGCGGCGATATATGCCAATAGGGGGAGGTATAGTTTGGCAAAGGTGTCTTGGGGTCTACGATCCCCGGCTCATAAATACCCTCGGGAGAACCAGACATGTTGTCTAGTTTGAGAAAATATGGAAGATGGTATGAAGGCTATCGAGAGGCGATTTGGGGATTGAAATGGAAGCAAGTACTGTCTTCCACTCGGAATGAAATCTCAATGGAGGGAGGACGATTTGCGGGCTGTTGAAAAGTTCTAAAAATCTTTTAAAAATCCTACTTTGAATGTTGATTAAAAATGATAGTTATACTACCACCAACGGCATGTGAACATGGCTCTCACTTGAATTTCCCAAATGGACAAATTAGCGGTGCAGGACCTTAAAAGCGACTCACGAGTTTCTAATTTATCTGTTCTCATCCTTCGTGCCCTTTTTGATCACACAAGACTATCTCCACCAATCAACTCCGCATCGTCGTATGGGGCTGCCTGCATGACACTTCAGGGATGAAGACCAAAGAGCCAATGAAGCTTGGCATCACGATGATTGCGGGGAGGGGTGTCTTGGCGTGGGACCAAACGGAGAACGCGCTCTATTGCACTTATCTTCTTCCTCACTTTCCCGGTCATGGTGGGCGTGCCTCACAGTAAGGGCTGCCAGTCATGTGTACGGCGAAGGATTAAGGTGAGGACCACTCGGGGACATCTAGATTTCTCAGCCGCTAAAACCAACCAAGTGCGACGAAAGACGACCCCTCTGCAAACGCTGCGAGATCCGCGGTCTGCAATGCCCCGGCTACGAAAAACCAACTATATTCTGCCATTTCTCCATTACGCAGGGCGACCAGAAGAGCGTTCCTCAATCTCGGCCAAGGAAAATATTACGAAATGACGACGTCGAAGGCCGTAGCTCCAGCAACAAGGAGGTTGCTTCGAGTTTCGATGAATGCATTGCACCTAGTCTTGTTCAAAGGTCGATGTGTATACAACAAAAGGAATTATTCGGTGACTTTGTCGATGTCAATTTCCCAGGTCTCTACTACTCATGGAGTACCCGCATGGAAGTAAATTTTATGGAATTCATGCGCCAGCAGAGCGATACTCCGACGAATGCCCTCGTATGGGCTGCTTCTACATTATGCACAGTGAATAGGGGTCAAAGGGACAAAGACAAGCCACAAGTCGATCTCGGGCGTGCGATGTACATTCGAGGAATAAGAACTTTGATACAGTTGATACAGAATCCAAGGACAGTCAAATCTGACCAAACTTTGGGCGTTGCGGTGTTATTGGGGATTTGTGAAATGATAGATGGATCATTTGAGCAATCCTGGCTGGCGCATTCTAGTGGAATTGCGGCTCTGTTCCAACATCGAGGACCCGAAGCGCACCGCGATGGAGTCGGCAGGACATTGCTGATATCCTTCCGAGCCTTTATTGTGGCAGACGCTCTACTTCGAGGCGAGCCATGCTTTTTGGCGGAACCTGTCTGGAGGGCTGTGATTATACAATCGATGAAACAAGATAATGAACGTGGGAAAGGGAGTGAGCTTGGTGATTTAGTGGAGTTTGCTTTCCATGAGATAACTCTTTGCCCCGGTCTGGTGGCGCGAGTACGCGACATACTTGCAGGAAAAATAATTGATACCAATCGGAAGAAGCTCTTGGTGGGAGCACTCTCGACTCAAATATCAAATCTTTCCAAGCTACACAACAAGCTTTCTATCCTGTTCTCTCATGGAATTGCACTTGAGAGTAGACCAGACCTCGTCGGTCCTATCCCTCGCCCTGTTATCCACATGCTCACCAAGTTCACCCTACAGGGGATTGATATGGCCATTGATTTGTTAAATCGACTACTAAGATCACTGGGTGCGCATCAAACAGGTATCATTTTGTACGGCAACCATCCCAAACAAAGCTTCAACCAGACCTGCTTAGCAAGTGACAGAATCATCGGAGAAAAGCTTATGGAAGGACCGGACCAACTTGCTTTATCTATGGGAATGCTGGTCCTAAAAAATGACCAGTATCTGGATAATACTTTAATAACGAAAAAGAATAATTGCATTTAAGGGCTTTTGATACAGGGTTATCCTGGCAGGCCATCTCTCTCTCTTCTCACCGAGGAAGCATGGAAAAACTGCCAGGAAAGGATTCCAACAATCCAATTACATCAAACCGGCCTCGTCCAAATTCTGGGCTAGATTCTGCTCCGTCTGCTCTTTGGATCGCACGGCTCTCGGCTTTGCATAGTAAACATAAAGAATCTCGAGAAGCAAACCCAATAGCGTCGTGAAACTGCCGTCATAATTAGCCAAACCGACATAATAGTAATAGTGTGTCTTAGGGTTGATACATACAACGCAATAAAGCTGAATGCTTCCGCGGTGTATTTCCGACTACAAACCGCTTGTCCATTCCAGCGATCAATACGGCAGCTGATTCGATTGAAATCAAGCGCCAAAAAGATAAATGAAGTGAGCCATCTAGTAAATAATCAGCAAGGCAAGAGATATACTGCTTTTATGAAGCACTCACAGATATGAAAGTGTTCCGTCGGTCACTATTAGTACCAAGGCATGCCATCTGTGATTTCTGCCCACGCAGCTTGTAAATGTAGAGCAAGCGACAGCGAATATGCTTATGACCGACTGAATGTTGTTAGAGACGTAAATGTGATATTTTGAGCAACATACAGTGACCAGAGTAAAGATGACGGTGAGTGATTTTGTATCTGTAACAGCCCAAGCCGTGATTCCCAGGACAATGATCGAACTGATCGTTTGCACGGCACGAGCGACCCAGCCGACTGCACCGAGAGGATGGCCATGGAAGCTCTGCGTTCTTTCCATGACTAAAGATAAGGCTTTGTAATAATTTATTCTTTGGTGAGAATATGGGAGATGACTTGCGAATGTTCGAAGTCAGATGGGGAATATCTACTAGTACCGAAATTTCTTGGCCCAAGTCTATGATCTCACCACAGTTGAGTGACCCAAAGTCAAGGAACAGCATTAGTCATTTGCGGTAAACATTCAATAAACCAACGTAAAGACAGATAGTATTATTAGAGCAAGATTTAATTATCCCAAATTTGTGTTTCAACTATTTGTCTATTGTTGGTTGCTATTCATTCGTTGCAATGGCATCGCCAGACACAATTCTTGGCGGTTCATTATCGGAAGCCCAACATCACCAACTTTTAGAAGAACAAGAGAGAATGATTTTTTCCTGCTAATAATTGGAACTCAACACTTGAAGCATTTATTTGACATCCATCTGTCTATCTTTACTTTAAACAATCTATTATCCACCCAGTTGGGGGCGACCGCTATTCCTGATCAGGCTTGACTGGACCCTGCCGCCATACTTTCGCCAAGATGTTTTACCCCTTGAGCCTCGTGGGAAGAAAAAACCATTCCTCGTCAAGTTTCAAGTCAGAGAAACTTTTCCAAACTGATTGCAATGGGGTTCAAGTTTTTCCTGACATTGGCGACCCTGGGACTTGCGGCGGCGGCGGAGAGTTCCGTTGTATCGCTGTTCCTGATCGGCAATGAAAATCCGCAACCCCTTGAGGGCTCAATTGTGGCAGTGGTTCGTATTGACCGAATCCATATTCTTGAGACCAATTAACAAGCTCCGGTATAGGATGAAGATACCACCACCTATAGTATCAATTGCGCTAAGACCGTTGATATCGACCACTGCGCATTCCGCGCGGGCTTGCTATATACTGCAGGACCTACATCGATTGAATACGCGTTGAATACTTCTTATGGCCGGTACGTGCTACCATAGAGAGAATCGAGCCCCAGTGGGGCCTTATGCTGACGATTTTCGCTTGAGCAGACGTGACACGGTGATTTGCTCCATGGGCACTATATCTACCGTCTGTACCGGTATGATGCCGACCACTGGCACTGCCGTGGCTGCGTACACGACGACTTTGGGCAAGGGATACTTGAGTTCAGAGGGCGTAACAATCACTGCCGGTGCTACTAGAGCCGCGACTGATTCTTCTGCTACGAAGACTACTAGTAGTGACTCGTCCAAGGCCGCCAACTCTGGGGATTCTACATCACAGACGGCTAGGGGCTCAGCCTCAACCAGCACGGGAGGCATGCCCCGTATTACCGCAGGTCCTCGGATCGCTTTGGGTGGTGCAGCTGCGGCACTTGTGGCGGCAGCTCTATAATTGGAGTTTCCTGCGTAATGCTACGGAAGGAGATGTTGATGTCAATCTCGAGCTTGATATTTGTATCCACCACAGAGAAGATAATCACTCATAAATCATCAGAATAGCATTTTCAATTTATGTGTACTACATGGGAGTTCAATTCCTCAATATTTCTCCAGGCAACCGTTAAAATAAGCAAACTGAAAACCACGGTTCTCTTCAAAGGCCCTCCTCATCCTCCTTGCTCTTCAGCTTCAGGTCGCGAATTTCCTCCAGCAAGTCACCATCACTGTTTTTCCAGTTCCAGAGTGAGCCATAGATATCACCTTCCTCGGAGGAGGTTCTAGAAGATACAGAGGAGCATTCAGATGGCCCACCATCGACATGTCGTCTGAGCGCCTGTAGTTCTCGTAGACGCATCAGTCGTAGACCAATCCGACGACACTCCCAGTCAATCTGTTCTCTCACAGCAAGTCTGTCTTTGTAGAGATTCTGGACCTCATTAATGTCATCAGGGTCGTAAATCTGACCGTAGTATCCGATTGGGTACACGAGTTTCTCGGCATTAGGTTGCAGTCCCTGATGCTGGATCTGGGGAGTGGGCAAGCCATAACAGTGGCAGCACTTGGCATGGGCTCGAATATCTTGGGCACCTGGCGCATAAAATTCGCGAAATTTTCTGCGACAGTCTCTGATAATTTATCAGATGCGCCGACAGTTGACACCTCCGCCCGCTTTCTTTTGTTTCCTTGGTAGAAAGAATTGAAGGAAGAAATATCTCCGGGGAAACCTCTGAACACCGTTGTTTTTTCCACCGTTATTTTTTTCGGAGCTATTATCTCTTGTGAAAGAGAGGCTGCTTCTGGGGCTTTGACTGTATCACTTGAACTAGATAAAATAGCCAGTGTGTCATCTTTGCGGAGAGGCAGATTTACTGGGTCAGGAGGTGGGCTACCATGTTCTTCCGTGAATGAGGCCAAAGTATCCCCATGGAGAGGACAGGAAGATTCGCACATTTTGACAAGGTCGATGGCTGGTGGATAGTACTATATTGATTCCAACATTAGTAAAGCCTCTGTATGCTTGGGTCGGAGGAGGCACGGTACAAATTAACTGGTTTTCAAGGACCGAGCAATAAATGGAAGTTGGGGAAAGGTATCGGAGGATGAAGAAAGATGGTTTCATTCAGAAATAATCTTCTATTTATGCTCCAGCGTCATATCTATTGACGTGACATGTTTTAAACAATGGAATTGTGGCGGCTTCTTCCGGGTGACTTCTACCGGATTATTCCATGAAACTGATGTTTCCACAAGCTAGCAAGCGACATTTCTGAAGATCTTATAATAAATTTTAGCATATTTCCGTCATGAGTCGAAATTCATCTGAGCCTAGTAATTACACTGGATATATGGAGATTCAGCATGGCTCCAAGGCAGTCAGGTGTCGATAGATTTGTCAACAAAACGCTATGCTTGATTTTGCGACCTCTTTACTGCTGTTTCCCAACTCAAAACATCCCAAAAGGCCAGATTCTTTGTAATTGAAGAGTGTCCTATCATATGCAGGAAAGTCCTTGTGGCTTACTGCAGCACAAGGCCGTACTCTTCTTTGGTGTATGGAGCTCCGAAATCCGATGGCATTCCCGAGACTTCTCGGGCGAGCCCCGAGCGAAACAATTCATCAGCAGTATATCTTCAACATGAATAGGACTATTTCCTTTCCGACTCAGACGTCTATTTTCATCACAGTTCTCTATTTATCTTCCTCGCAAATCAAAATTTCCGATCAATACTATGTCTCAAGTCTGGCTCATCACAGGAACCTCTTCCGGGTTAGGTCATGAGCTTGCCAGAGCTGTACTAGGTCGTGGGGATAAAGTTATTGCCACGGCGCGACAATTAGATCGAATTTCATCTCTGAAAGACCTCGGAGCCGCCACCTTACAGCTGGACGTGACCGCGCCCCAGGAGGAGCTAAACCGTAGGGCCGAGGAGGCGATCGCAATCTATGGCAGGATCGATGTTCTCGTCAACAACGCCGGATATGTGCAATTTGGCACGATTGAGGAAACCAGGTATGATATGTCTCATTTCCCCTATGTTTCTTCTTCGGATCTAAAATCAATACCCCTTTCTAGCCACGATCAATGGTTCAAGCAGTTCAACACAAATGTTTTCGGAACACTAAACACCACCCGGTCGTTCTTGCCACACATGAGAAGAAGAAAGTCTGGAGTCATCGTCTTCATTGGATCTATGGTCGCGTGGGATGGTGCTCCAACTGTCGGAGCATATGCCTCTTCCAAGGCTGCGATTCATTGTATGTGATTTGATTGAGACACCACTATGTTGCAGGGCCATCCCAATTAACATTCATATCAGATGCTGTCGATTCCCTCTCTAAAGAGGTAGCACCAATGGGATTGAAGACGCTTCTCATTGAACCGGGCACCTTCAAGACCGACTTTTTGTCTTGGCAGAACTCCAAGTCTGTCGAACAACAGATTAAGGACTATCGCGAACTATCGGAAAATATGGACAGGGCCTTTGCGGACTTGAACGGAAAACAGCTTGGGGATCCGAAGAAAGGCGTCAACATAATCATTGACGTTGTTAAGGGAAAGACTGGAGCTGTGGTGAAGACATGGCCAAGTTCATTGCCTCTGGGGTCTGATGCTATTGAAGTCATTCGCAAACAGTGCGAAAATACCCTGCAAGAAATCGATGAGTGGGAAACATTGTCAAAATCGACAGATTTCTAGTGTTATTCGTTAATCTTTCGGTTAAGTTGGTTTGGATGTACTTGTCTAGGAATGAAATTTGGTGTACTAGTTGAAGTGCGTAAATCTCTATCCCGAACATGTTCCTTTGGCACGAGCTTTATTTCAGAATTAAATTTATTTGCAACTCCTCGCAATTTTAGCTGTTCTACAGAAACCAACGGCGAACACCCTAGCTACAAAAGCTACCCCACATTATAAATCAAGTGGCAAAATCGCCCCAATAAATTGACATAACGCTCATCTATCCAACGCTCTAAGCCCAGATAGTTTGAAAAAAGAATATACAAGTGAGAAAAGTCCAACTCCGCCAAGATCCAACCCAAAATGAAGATTTCAGTTCATATAAACAGATCTCTAGGAAGAGGTCTTGTAAACGACATCCAGCTGCACGGCGTCACAGCGTTCCGGCACATCGTCTCCGGCACTGCTGTTCTCATAGAACAGACCCTGGAGATCGTCATCACCGGCACAAACTATTGAAAGTAACCGTCAGTATGCTATTCACTAACCAGGTCTTGAACAGTCATATAGAACGAAAGGATTAACATACCCAACCAACCACCGAAATCCTTGTTAGAAGTCTGCAATTCCTTCTCGCTCGTCAAGCTAAATCCCTCACTGCCAGTTGTAGGGCTAACGCTGATCTCCACATCGCCCTGAAGGCCTTCCCCGGAAACCAGAGCGATAGCGAAAGGCGCACCGTTCGGCGCATCGTAGCGGACAGTGCCGTTGACAACGTAGAAGTCAGCCGCGTCGGTCTTTTCCCGGAACACGGCCTTGCTGTTCAAGGGGTCCACGTGCTCGGTGGAAAGGTAGAGACCATTGTTGCTAGCGTCTGAAGCTCCGGAGGTGACCAGGTTGAAGATCTTTTGGACAGGGCTAGCGGAGACCGCAATGGCGGTGGCCAGGAGGGCGAGGCTGGTGACGAACTTCATTTTGGGATGGATGTAGGTTGGAAAGATGGTCAGAGTTGGATGGGGAGGGGATGAGGATTGGAAGATGAGTGTAGAGACGAGGTGAAGACTCTCGTAAGTGTGTTCTTTGAGAATGATATTTTATTTTATGAGTCCGAATGATGGGGGCATGACGTTCTATTTATGCTGGAACAATCTATAGGCTTTGGTGTCTTTGTGGATGCGCTACTTTGTGAGCGAATGCCGACCCGATTTAACCATTGAGCCTTACCCCCACGTCGATCTCCGATCCGAGCCTTGGGTCGATGGTGTTGAAAGGTTGGTTGTGCCTTGGATTGGTGCGGAGTGATATCAGGTTTGTATAGCTATCGGGATGATGGGACAATCTTAATCTTAGCTATTCAGTGTCTATCTCCGGCGGTTTTTTCACTTCACTTTTGACAACTTGAAGACTAACATTGTTTTGTCAAGAGAGACACTGCTCTGCATCTCTGATGTCAGCGTGTGAGACAAATTCGCCCCGCTGAATCACCGCAGCTGCAGGTCCTCACTAGGGTCTCAGGCTTCACCAGTCAGGGTGGATATAGACTGAAGATCTTCCCCCGCCGGCAATCGTGGAACCGAGTTGAAATCCGAGACAACGCAGGGGTTGGATGTGCTGTGCCGTCTCCCGGGTGATGTTCGATTTGATCTGTATTCGTTCAACGCTCTTACTTTTTTAAAGCCACACTTTAATTCTCTAGATCGGTGCTAGTTGTGAGGGGTAACGGCGACCAAAGCGAATCATATGACTCCAAGTTGGAGGCACATTATTTATGTAAAGAAGCCGAGAGACTTTTATTTTTTCTCAAATGCCTTATGAGAGTGTTTTTCAATCTCTCCAATTACAGCAAAAAAGGAATTTCCATGGGAACTTGAGCATCTTGGCGTGAACCCCTGAACCGTTCCAGCGATTTTGATGATAAAATATCCACAATGTTCTCATGCAACCGCTGTTCCGCCCCACTGACCCTTAGAAAAGTTCCGAGGCTGCCTTGAAATGGGCATTAAATGAGGTAGGAAACGAAGAACAGGGAAAGAATTGAGAGTCAGAGTCCACAGGGCAGATTCTGAAGAAAATCAATTCCTAATTAACCGTTTGAGACCACAGGGAAGGAAGACTGCCAGGTGGATTTTACTAGTTCGCACAACTTCTCGGGAATTGTAACACCTGGTACTGCTACTACACTGTTTAAATTTAACTGATGTACAATCTGTATCTATTTGACATGGTAGTTACTCTTGTTTTTTCGTTTATCGTAGTTCCGGTCATCACGTCATGAGTTTTCTGTATCGTACATGCATGCATTCTTTCAAGCTGCCAATCTCCGAGTCAACTTCTAAAGCTTGATTTCCAAGCCATGCAACCGAACTGAACAGTTCACCTTCTGCCAGTATTCTTGGAGAACTCTGGCTTCAAAGTCCAAACACCACGGCCGGCTCGGTCTTTGCTCAACGCAGCCACAATATTCAGCGTCTCTTGAAACTCGCGCACACGCTGATCATTCGGGCAAAAATGATTGAATTTTTCAATGATGGTCTGTGTGGGAACAGGACCGCGACGAGAGAGCAAGAAATCGCGGATCATCGGTATGAAATCCTTTCCACGGGGCATTCGGGAGGATTCTGCAGGACTGGAGCCGCCACCAACAGATGCCGCGGGGTTAAGCCTGCCGAGAAGGCTTGCAGATGAAGGACCGGCGCCTGCCGGGCGCGCTGAGCTGCCACTTGCGAAATCGGATCGACCTCCCATGCCAAACTGACCTGTCCAGGTCGGGATACCGATTGGAGTAGAACGGGCGGTCTCTTCAGCCCTGCGGAGTTCTGCTGCAGCTTCTGCAGCGACCTTGCGAGCTTCTGCTTCGATGATTTTGGGATCTGAACGTATAGCACGCTTGCCGTTCACAATATTGTCATGCTCGACGGCGGCATGAACGCCTGATCGTGAGAAAATGCCGTGCATGATGCGGTCCTCTGCAGTTTTGACATTGCCATTCTCGTCGATGTTTTCGTCTTTGGTTTTGAACTCTTCCACATTAGCAACCCCTTGAACGGTACTGACATCTTCCGTTTTGACAGAGGGTGACTTTTTCGAAACGTCGCCATTTGTTGTGGAAGTTTCTTCCTCCTGGTAGGCCACTTCAGCGTTTTTGAAGAGCTTCACTGTTTCTAATTCTTTATCGTTTTCGTCTCCCAACGTGAACAAGTCGTAGAGGTCGCTGAGCTGAAATCCCTCTCGTTGCTGTGGGTCACGAGTGATTTTATTGGTCAAAAATTGCTTAAAGATCTGCCGATGATAGATTTTTTCCTCGATCGTGCCTTTGGTCATGAGACGGAAGATGGTAACATCGCGTTTCTGGCCAAGTCGCCAAGCGCGTTCGCGAGCTTGCATATCAGTGGACGGATTCCAGTCAGGATCGTAAATAATGACACGATCGGCTCCTGTCAGATTCACACCAATGCCACCCACTCTGGTAGTGAGGAGGAAGACATGGAGATCTGGGCTTTTGTTGAATTCATCAACCATGTTTTGGCGGTCTTTGATCGGAGTACTGCCATCCATTCGGCGAAAGTTGAATCCTCCTAAGATACCAAGGAACTTTTGGATGATATCCAGCATCTGACGTGTCTGTGCGAAAAGCAATGTCTTGTGTCCAGTATCCTTCCACACCTCAAGTAGTCCTTTCAGGACCTGCATCTTTCCAGAAAGCTCTCCCCTACCATATTCTGCCTCATGAGATCGCAAAGCATGGTCAACCAGATCAGGATGGTTGCAAATCTTCCTAAGGATATCGATTCCAAAAAGTGAATTCCTCTTCCCTCTAATAATAGACTGCATATCATCGGAGCCGAGAAACCGCTTGTAGATGGTACGCTGGGTTTCGGTAAGTTTGCAGAATATGACTTGCTCGGTTTTCTGGGGAAGGTCGGCAGTCACATCGGCCTTGAAGCGTTGAAGAAGGTAAGGGCTGATAGCACTTTTCAAAGTTTCTGCACACTTGGCGGCAGTCTGGACCTGCAAATTTGTCGCCGATGCGTACCCACCTTGTCGGATGGGGATCTCAAAGGAATTCTTGAAATTGACCAGATTTCCCAGGCGCATTGGAAAAACAAAGTCAAAGAGAGACCACAGGTCAACCAAGCTGTTTTGCATGGGAGTTCCGGAGAGAATTATACGGTGGGGAGTACGAAGCTCCTTGCAACTGAAAGTGATGCCAGCATCCGGGTTGCGAATTTTGTGACCCTCGTCGAGAATGGCACAACTCCATTCGACATCCACCAGAGCATCAGCATATGACTGAAGGCCGGAGTAGGTGGTTACTAAAACATGGCCGTCCCGATTGACACGGTCGATGATTTTCTTGGCCGCTTTCTGACCCTGCGTCAATCGCTTATCACCATAGGTTCCCATCAACTGAGACGTGAGAGCATCTTCGCGACTGCTTTCCTTCCCCAAGTTGATCATGCCACTACCCGAAGAGTGCAGAATAGAGACCCGGAATGGCGGCCACCAGCGGTGAAACTCATTAACCCATTGCTTCATGAGGGTTGCGGGACACACGACAATGGCAGGCTTTGTGAGCATGTCACTGTGATGCAACGACGCGAGATATGAAATAGCCTGGATTGTCTTTCCTAGGCCCATCTCGTCTCCGATGATACCGCCAACCGCTTGTTGGTGCAGCTCCCAGAGCCACTGCACACCGGTTCGTTGATAGGAGAAGAGGAAACGACTGATATCACCAGGAACCCGCAGTCCATTTGGAAGCTCCATATCGGGCTCCGATGGATGTGGTTTGAGCCATTCGCCTCGGCCATCGTCATCATCTACATCATCATCCCCTTGAGCACGCCGGCGAGCAGCACTCCGTCGAGTCGTCCAATCCAGAAGGCGTTTTTGATAAAGCCTTTCGTTGCCATCATCTACCCCGCTCAGATCTTCTAGTTCGGTCTCTGCGTTGCCCTTCTTGCGCTTCCGGGTAGATGTGACTTCGGGGATTGTATCTGGCATGAATTCTTCCTCCTCGGAAATGGCACTATCATCTTCCGAAGCGACATAGCTCGCCGAGGAGTCTACAGAACTCGATCGGGTCTTAGATGCCTTCTTGGTTGTTTTCTTTCCCAGCTTCCTGCGCTTCCCACTGCTTTCTGTCCGGCTGCTTTCACTGGTTTGGTCGAAATCCATCCCAGGTCGATGAAGAAACCTGTGTGCCTCCGGCTCGAGCTCCGCCTTCTTTTGTTCTTCCTGCTCATCATGCTGATCCTCGACGTCGACAAGGGCATCCTGTAGTGTAGAAGGCTGGCCATCGGGACCAGCAGCAGTCATCAGCTCGAAAGGTGTGATCTTGCCGGTCCGAAGAAGATAATCGCGCCTCGTCTCGTTTGGCAACCTGCCTGGGCCATGACTGCCCGCCCCATTCTCCTTGGATTTCCGGCGTTCATCGATACGATCCGTGATATCCTTCACATCCTTGAGGAAATCTGTTCGCCGAGACTCATGTTTCCTAAGTTCGTTTTCGAGGCGATGTCGAGTGCTGGCGTTGACATGTTGGGTGAGGCGTTGGCGGGCTTGTCTAATCTGGGCGTCCACTTTTCTAAAAGATAGCAGTTAGTATGTGCCATATAATACCCAATATAGGTTTCTGGGGTATCGAGTCTCACTCTTTATCGGCCAAAACCTTCTCGAGTCTTTTTGCGTCGTTTTCCTCGGCCTTTTCCGCTAGAATCTTGTCCGCCTTTCGAAAAGTAAGCGCCTGGTGAACTGAGTGGCATTTGATAAGTCAAGGTCAGCATTACCTGTCGAGTAATATCCCTTTCCAGATCATCCTGGTTCCGAACATCTGCATTTAGCTCCTGTAGACGACTCGCCTCATCCACCACCGGCGCATCGTTTGCGCCAGGAGATGCCATGCTTGGTAAACAGGTTGAAAAGAAGCGAATGAATCTTGTCAGCCCAAAGAAAGCGTCAGACTATCGAGCCAATGATCGAGCAAACATCTCGCTCGTCGAGTCAAGCAGAATGGAACGAATTCATGTCAAGAAATGGCAAATCAACCATGGAAGCCACTGCTTATCGGAAAGGGCAGAATATCTCACCGCCCGTTTGAGCCGCTAGCTCACATGATAAGTGAGTCATCAGGATTGCTGCCTAAATTCTGGGGTTTCTGCCTGATTTGTCAAACACAGAGCGAACCACAGTCTAGAAGTCGGTGTGTTGACCACTTTAATGGCGTTGTCATAATAATCAAGCATCCGAATTTTTCATGTCCATTTCTATCTCAACCCACAATTTTAGAGATACGGGCTCGTATGTGCTTCGACGATGTCGTATAGGAGCAGAGTTAAGCCATTCAAGACGTTTGGATACACGAATTGTTCTAAGAAGTGACTTCGATGGCTATAGGTGAATTTATCCTGAACATCGAAGAGAAAATTTCGTAGAGCTCTGTGATCCAAAATCTGGGGCGTTCAATGCTCCTTCAGAATGAAGTTTGAGGATGGCGGTTCTGCAAGCATTCGACTTCTCAAGCCCGGTGCTACAATGTTTCCTCAGGATAAGGTCACGGTGCACAATAAAGTCGAAATGATTAGATATAGTATTAAACAGTATACAACGAATCCCGTGCAATTTGTTCTGCACTGGGGAACCGGAGAGGAAAACTCCAAGTTTCTCGGCCTCGGTCCTTTTATCATCATCAAATACATTAACCAGTATGATGTAAAGCATCTTACACACCAAAAGAGCGATGTCGTCGATTCTGCGGATGGCTGTCGACGTATATACTATATTTCAAGGTTATTTTTCGGAAAGCTCGCTAGGTAGGATTGATTTACACCTTCTTCCATAAATCTTGGGGCGTTTAACATCTGGTGTGCCGATCTTCGGCGCTCAAACATCCTGGTTTATAACGCCTTCAAACTGTAGGAGTTGTAAGTTTTGAGGAAGTCATCTTCTTTGAATCGTATCTGCTACCTCTGGTACTTAATTCAAAAGCGCAATTCCAGTTGCTGGAGCGAAGGATTATCCCGATGTACCTCATGAATCACTTTTCATGCGAAGAAAGCCACAGATTATCACCAGCGAATATTGGTAAGTTTTTGGATAAGAGGGATAGTGAATTAATTACCTTCAAAAATCAAGGCCGAGCTGTTGATTATGGCTTTGTTCTTCTTGTTCTCCTCGAAACTCGAAGGTAATATCCCGAACCTTTGCCATGGCCAGTCTTTTCGATCTACACTTGCATTGATTTGGCCCCAATCCAGTATAATTCAGATCGGCCCGTCGCAATACTGCTTTACTGCAGTATTTAGACCCATAAACAGTAGATTGGCTGTCAGATCTGGGCCTCTGGGCTGGCTGGGCGTACAGTAAGCATCAGGTCATATCACATGCCAATTGTAGTATGATTGAAGCTGCCCACTATAATTCTCCACATTATGGCGAAAGCTAGCAGACAGGGCAGCTTTTCTTCAAAAAACCAGGTTCTCTCATCATTGGAAGATCTTATATCTACCTGATGAAATTGCGAATTGCCACCGGAAGTGCCCATGTAGTACATACCATGTAAAATAAGGTATTCTATTGGTCAATCAATGGCTTTCGAGTAGCCAACATGACTCGCTATAAAGGCCGTGATGTAATAATTGAAGATAATATCGAGCGACACGAGCGGCATAAGCTAGTTTCATTCCTTTCATTCGTGAATATTCCGTGATTGAAGGTCAGTGCAGCCCAAGATCAGTCGAACGAATTGTGGCCGCCCACATTCGAGCTCGTACATTCTCGGGTCTGTCAGCAGCAACCAAGTGTCTAGTGTCGCTGCACTTGAATAGAATAGGGAAACGTCATGATACTAGTAGTAGTATTTGGACGAACTCGTGTCCCCGAGTCCATCCAGGGGTAGAATTAGGCATTCACGCCAAACCTAGCGGTTGGGTATGCAATGACGCGACAACGGGGGCACACGTCGAGGCGTGGACAGGAGGGAGTAATATAATATAGATAAAATTGAATAAAATTGAGTAAAAATTAACAAGAAACAGAAATAGAAATAGAATAGAAAAGGAGCACAGGATGCATCAAATCAAGTTGAAGCTGGGTAGGGTGACAAGGGACGATCGTTGCCCAGCTGCGGCAACACAACACCAGACCTCACCAGACTTCACCACACTCTCTCCACTTCCCACCACCCTCTATCCTCCCCCCCCCCCTCCTCCTCCTCCCTTTACTCCACGCCAATCTCACAGCTTCTTCCGTTGATTCTGTTCTTTCTACTTTCTACTCCCTTCTTTTTTGCTTGTCGAACCCCTCCGCGCTGACATCATTTGCGCCCATCGCTTCCCTCTGCTCACCCCGGATTTGCCCTGCTTGTGTCGTCCTGCCCACCTGATGATGCAGTGCGCTATACTTGCGAATTAACCGCTCTGCCCCCCTTCTATTCTCGACTCGTGTCGGGTTTAGTTGAGCCCCTACGTCGCCACGGTTGCGCTTCTTGTGTTGTCGTCTTCAACCGCCCACTAGCAGTTGGATCCCCACTCGTCTTCTCCCGATCGCAGTGTATTAAGGCGCACGCACTGTGGACATCGGCAACTAGTGACGACAACGACAACGACGACGGAGGTCAATTATCCCTCCCAACCCCCTTCCCTACTGCCGTTTTTTACCAAAATACCTACTTGACTCGATCGCCACGATGGATCAGGGGTGGCAACCATACCAGGATCCCCTGATGGGTCGCCCCGCGCAGTTTACTACCGGGTTGGCGTCTCATCCACAGCAGTTAGGCTCAAAGTACGGCCAGCCACCGCAGTCGTCACAGCCCCCCGTCGGATACACCTACGAGACCTTCCAAACCCCCGGCACCACCTCCAAGCCTCCTTCTTCCGGTCCCAACTCCAAAACTGTCTCTATGGCTTCATCTCCCACTGCAACGCCACGGAGTAGGGATTATGTCACTGACGCTGACACCACCATGGAGGATGCGGACCCATACAATCGGGCCAAGTATCCGTCGCGACCGAACCATCACAGCCGCCCTTCGTCTCAATTCCTCGGCCAAGCCGAGGAATCGTCGGCTGCTCGCAGATACTCCCCGATGAACGCTCTGTCGTCGCCCATGTCATCGTATCCCACCAGTCCTGGAAAGGCTCAAAGTTCGTACGGTTTTCCCCCAACGGCTCCTGGTCAGTCGCGACGATCGCCTACCCGGGCACCCGACTATGCCTCGCCGCCGCAAGGTTACCAGTCGCCGCCATGTGAGTTTCCCCCGAACTAAATGCCCCTGTTCTCTCGGCTCGCCGTGGACCGTAACTCACCATCCATAGCCGCCAACCGGCCCCCCTAGACTTCCCCCGCTCCAGGCGACCGATCTCAGCCTGGACCAATATTACCCCCCTTCCACATCCTCCCACATGAGTCCGGCATTCGGCCATGGGACTCGATCCCCTCGGTCTGGCTCCTTGCCATCGCAAGTTCCAGGTCGTGGCCCAGTCCCGAAGTTCCAAAACATTAAATCAGTGCAGGAGTTGCAGCCACGGGTTCACACCCAACCCGCATATCGGCGCGCCAACCCGGAGGGTGGATTTATCAGCGTCAGTTTTCCTCCAGCCGTTTCATTTCAATTCAATGCTCACCCCCTTCTGTCTTCTAGCCACTCCAAGCATTGACCTCTCACCTTCCGTCAACCTACCGTATCTGCAACCCGAACTTCAACTACGAGTCCTCGAGGAACCCCCAGCGCGTGTTGACCAAGCCCAGCAAGGGAGTGAAAAATGATGGCTATGATAATGAGGACAGTGACTACATCCTCTATGTCAACGATATTCTGGGTAGTGAAGAGGCCGGTCACAAGTATGTCGCTGCTACTCCCCATCCAGGTATCTCGATCTAATCTCTCTTCTGCAGGAACCGTTACCTCATTCTTGATGTCCTTGGTCAGGGTACTTTCGGTCAGGTGGTCAAATGTCAGAACCTGAAGACCCAGGAAGTTGTTGCGGTGAAGGTCATCAAGAACAAGACAGCCTACTTCAATCAGAGTATGATGGAAGTCTCAGTGTTGGACTTGGTAAGCATCTTTGATCCCGCTCGCCGTGGCACCCCACTGACAGCTTCTTCCCTCCAATAGCTCAACAGCAAGTATGACAAGAACGACGACCACCATCTCCTGCGACTCAAAGACACCTTTATCCACCGGCAACATCTTTGCTTGGCATTCGAGCTGCTCAGTGTCAACCTTTACGAACTCATCAAGCAAAATCAATTCCGGGGTTTGAGCACGACACTCGTCCGTGTCTTTGCGCAGCAGTTGCTGAATGCGTTAAGTCTTTTGAATAAAGCTCATTTGATCCATTGCGATTTGAAGCCGGAAAACATTCTCTTAAAAAAGTTAGTCAATACTGATCCCGCCATCGAGAGAAATTGCCTTACTGACCGTCGTAACCTTCAATCTAGTCTCGAGAGCCCCATTATCAAGGTTATTGACTTCGGATCTGCATGTGATGAGCGCCAAACGGTCTATACGTACATCCAATCACGATTCTATCGTTCCCGGGAAGTCCTACTTGGCTTGCCGTATGTTACCAACACTATAATTTTCGTCTCGATCGGTTACTAACTAACATTTTCTCTAGGTACTCGTCCGCAATCGACATGTGGTCACTTGGCTGTATCGTCGTCGAACTCTTCTTGGGACTGCCTCTCTTCCCCGGATCTTCCGAATACAATCAGGTCACCAGAATTGTCGAAATGTTAGGGCTTCCCCAGCAGTGGATGCTGGACATGGGCAAGCAATCCGGCGAGTTCTTCGAAAAGACACATGATGAGTACGGCCGTAAGACACATCGTCTCAAGAGTCTTGAGCAATACTCGCGAGAGCACAACACGAAGGAACAGCCCAGCAAGAAGTACTTCAATGCTTCAACACTGGAGGAGATCATTCGCAGTTACCCTATGCCACGCAAGAACATGAAGCCGGCTGAAGTTGAACGCGGTAAGGATTCATCAGGGTACAGCTTCACGAACAATTGCTAACTACTATAACAGAACTGAACAATCGAGTTGCCTTCATTGACTTTGTGCGAGGCCTCTTGGCCATCAACCCCCTCGAGCGATGGTCGCCTCAGCAAGCGAAATTGCATCCATTCATCACCCAGCAGAAGTTCACCGGTCCTTTCATGCCACCCGGGAACTTGAAGTACTCAGCTCCCAACAAGACTGTCGCACCCGGCGTTCAGCAACAGCAGCAGGCTGAGGCCGCTAGCAAGCAGAGGGCCGCTCAAGCAGCACAGGCACAGCAGTCGGCATACAACATGCAAATGAACCAGCAGTACCATGCACCGGCGCAGCCGCAACAAGCTCCTCCAGCCATGTATAATGGAATGTACCAGCAACAAGCTCCTCCTCCACCTTACCCGACGCAGCCACCGGGCTACGGCTACCAGATGAACATGGTTCCTGGGCAGGCTCAGGCTCCCCAGGGGCATTACGCACCATCCCAGAGTCTTCAAGCCCAAGCAACCACTCGGGCTGGTCGTCAGCGTGCATCGACAATGGATCCCAATGGTGGAGGCATTCCGCCCACAATCCAGCGGGTGGCCAGCCACTTGGATCCCAATGCCCCAATTCGTCTGCAACCCAGCCCCGCATACTACCCCCCACCTCCAGACGGGTATGTTGATCCAAACAATGCCAACCAACGACGCCGTGGCAGCCGCACAGGCAATAACGGCAATCAACGAAACCGAGACTTCATTCGTACCCTTGAAGACGGCGTGCTGAGCGAAGGCTACATGGCTCAGAACCAATGGCACTAGGATGGGTCGTCATAGGCATAATATGTATGATGCCTCGGAATCTGCTATTAAACTATTGATTGTCTCCTCGCCATAGTCGAGTCTCTTACGCCTGGCGCGTGTGCCTTGTTCCAGAGGGCATATTCCATTGATTCCTGCGTTATATCGTTGATACTGGAACCCATGGTCGCTGGATTCGCCCACCCTTGCCATCTGAACTGAACTGCCCCCAATCGACCCACTCCGTACCTAGCCGATGGATGTACTTTGCTTGCTATTATTTCCCTCCTTGGCATGAGTCACGGTAATGGTGGTCGGTTAGCAGTGGCCTCCGGAGGCCGACCAGTTCCGGGTCTATGGAGTTCATGGAGACAAGAATGAAAACAGATCAACAAAGGATTCGACATAAGGCTAACGTAGCTTTCATGTCGCAACTCCCTTTTTTCCCCGGTCCCTTTCCCGCCGGTAAAAAGATGCGACCCAAGAGTGGTCGATTTCTTTCCAATGCATGAATATGATATTACTGCCACTTTCTTCTCTGTTGTGTTTATTGCTGTATGTGTGGTGATGTTTATCAGGAATGATTGTTCAACGTGTCTGTTTCGCGTAACGTCTTTTTTTTTCGTTTTTCTTTCCCCTACTACGTTTGTCTACTCATCGATCGACGATGAACATGGTTGTTACGCTTTTATCTTCTGATTTCCCTCTTCTTTCGGCATAGCCTGGAGTATGAAAGAACGATCTCATTTCCCGCTGCCTGTCTTCGTAAATTTGGATCCGTTTTTCTGGTGGTGGTTTGTTTGAGATGACTCGACAAGGACCATGTAAGGTATGGCGGGTCATGGCGAATGTCCTCCTTCTCCTGTAGGAGTGGAGTGCATGTCAGTTACTATACATATATTTGCATTCACTTTTTCTCAACTTTGTTTGTCATTGTAGTAAATAAGTAAAACTATTCATAATCAAAACTTAGTATGTTTTAATTATTCTGTATCAAAATGATATTCTTTGTCCCCATGGCATAGTTCCCGCGCTAAACCCAATTGGGTTTAGTCAGCCCCTCGCTTAATTTTCGTGTGTGGCTCTCGCCCGCCATCTCCAGTCAACTTTTAGAAGGATCTGCCTTAGCCTTCGTGCAATCAATCAAATACACGATGTCGTCGCGATTCTTCTACCGTGGTGGTAGCGACAGCGAGTCCAGCTCCTCCGATGAGGAAGAGGATGTCTACGAGCGCTCTGAGGAGGAGAGCAGCGAGGAGGAGTCCAGCGAAGATGAAGATGACTCCGGCAGCGATTCCGATGACTCCGGCGAGGAGGGAGGCAAGAAGGGTGCCAACGCTTTCCTGAGGGATGCGTCCGAAAGTGAGAGCGAGGAGGAGGAGGAGAAGGTCACCCTCGTCAAGAGTGCTAAGGACAAGCGACTGGAGGGTCTCGAAAACACCATCAAATTGATCGAGAATGCGCAAAAGATTAACGACTGGGCCGTCATCTCTACTGGTGAGTGTCACTTTGGAGTTTCGAGGATGGATGCCCTGTTGGATGATAGGATACCGACAGTGGTCCCCCACCCCAAGGGGCCCTATGAAGCCATACGGAAGTCGACGCTAACAACAGACTATCACAGAGTTCGACAGCCTGAACCGCCAAATGATCAAGGTCGCCCAATCCGGTCCCACCCCCAAGCTCTACGTCAAGGCCGTTGCCGACCTCGAAGACTTCATCAACGAGGCCGCCTCCAAGCAGAAGTCCGCCAACAAGAAGATGAATGCCAGCAACCAAAAGGGATTCAACACCATCAAGCAGCGTATCAAGAAGAACAACAAGGACTATGCCGACCAGATCGAGAAGTACCGTGCCGCCAAGGATACCTACATGGACGAGGAGGAGGAGAAGGCCCCCGCCCCTGCGCCCAAGCCCAAGCCCACTGCCTCCCAGAAGGTTGAGAACTTCGCCGCTGCTGCCGCCGCCGCTTCTGCTGGCGACGACGATGGATTTGCCACCGTCGGCCGTGGTGGAAAGACCCTGCAGTACACCGCAGAGAGTATCCTCAAGCACCTGCGCTCCATTGTCGAGTCTCGAGGAAAGAAGAACACCGACCGTCTGGAGCAAATCCGCACCATGGAGAAGCTTCTGGAGGTCTCCACGACCCCCTACCAGCGAATCCGTGTTTACTTGACCCTTATTTCCACCCGTTTCGATCTCACCTCCGCCTCTGCCAACTATATGAGCCCCGAGCAGTGGAAGGCCGCCAACACCGAGTTTGGTGTTCTCCTGTCCGTTCTCGAGCAGAACAGCAACTATATTGTCACTGAGGGTGCTGATGAGTGGGAGGATGACGAGAAGCAACCCCAGCTTGCTGAGGGCGAGACTTTCCACATTCCCGGCAGCATTGTCTCCTACATCGAGCGTCTGGATGACGAGCTTACCCGCTCGCTGCAGCAGATTGACCCCCACACTGCTGAGTACATCGAGCGTTTGAGTGACGAGCAGCAGCTGTACAACAACAATGTCCGTACTCAACTCTACCTTGAGGTCCTCAACGCCGGAGCCAAGAATGATTCCCGACAAGACAGTGTCAACCGTGTGATCATCCGCCGTCTGGAGCACGTCTACTTCAAGCCCTCCCAAGTGGTCTCCATCCTCGAGGAAGCCGCCTGGAAGTCTCTCCCCGACAACCTCAAGTCCGCTATTACCCCCCCGCGCCCAGGCTGGCGATGTCGACGACCTCCTCCAAACCCTCTGCAACTACCTGTTCCAGAACAGCGATGGCATTATCCGTGCCCGCTCGATGCTCTGCCAAATCTACTTCCTTGCCCTGCACGACAAATACTACCGCTCTCGTGACCTGATGCTCATGTCCCATCTGACCGAGAACATCTCCAACTTTGACGTCAGCACCCAGATCCTCTTCAACCGCACCCTTGTCCAAATTGGTCTGTGCGCTTTCCGTGCTGGTCTCATCTACGAGGCCCAGAACACTCTCGGTGACATCTGCGGTAGCGGCCGTCAAAAGGAGCTGCTCGCCCAGGGTATTATCATGCAGCGCTACTCCACCGTTTCCCCCGAGCAAGAACGTCTGGAGCGCCAGCGCCAGCTGCCCTTCCACATGCACATCAACCTGGAGCTGCTTGAGTGCATCTACCTGACCTCCAGCATGTTCCTCGAGGTTCCCCTCATGGCGCAGACCTCTTCCGCCCCCGAGATCCGCCGCCGCATGATCTCCAAGACCTTCCGCCGCATGCTCGACTACAACGAGCGCCAGGTCTTCACCGGACCCCCGGAGAACACCCGCGACGGTGTCATCATGAGCGCCAAGTTCCTCGCCGCCGGCGACTGGAAGAAGGCCGCCGAGATGCTCGCATCCATCAAGATCTGGGACCTGATGCCGCAACCCGAGAAGATCAAGGAGATGCTGTCCGCACAGACACAAGAGGAGGGTCTGCGCACTTACCTCTTCACCTACGCCCCCTTCTACGACAGCCTGTCCATCTCCTCGCTGGCCGACATGTTCGAGCTGCCCATCAAGAAGATCACCGCCATCATCAGCCGGATGATCTCTCACGAGGAGCTGGGTGCTGCCCTGGACCAAGTCAACGACGCCATCATCTTCCGCAAGGGCGTCGAGCTCTCCCGCCTCCAGTCCCAGATTGTTACCCTCGCCGACAAGTCAATGGGTCTGCTCGAGTCCAACGAGAAGACTCTCGAGCAGCGCACTCAGGGTATGGCCAATGCCTTCCAGCGCGAGCAGGGCCCTGGAGCCCGCGGTGGTCGTGGTGGTCGCGGTGGTGGTCGCGGCGGTGGTCGCGGCGGTGCCCGTTTCCCTGGCGGCGAGCGGAGACCTGGTGGCCAGCAGTTCGGTGGTGGTGCATTGGGTGGTGCGATCAAGGCTTAAAAAGGGAGTTTGTTTTTCTTTTGATATAATGGCATGCCCTTTCACATTTTTTTGTTAAACAACTCTTCTTTTTTTCTCCTGAATCTCCTCCCCATTTTCCTTTTTTCCTTTTCCCCCCGTTGTCATGGTTGTTTTTCTTGTCTCTTTCTCATGCCGTTTTCTAGACCGAGTTAAGTTTCCCTCGTGTCTGGTCATGATTCAAAATGAAATGAATAAATGGTTAGAAAGCATTGCTTTTTTCGTAATATAGACTACATATTATAGAGAGGATAGGTATGTACTTGTTGAAAGGGAAGTAGTGGTAGAGAATCAAAGAAGACTTGAAATCATTTATTTGATCGTACCAAGTTCTCATCCTATATGAGGAATGTTCTGTGTCCAGGTCGCCTGGAATGCTCTCGGTGGCAGGAAAGCCAAGGATCGAAAAACTTCAACGCAGATGAAAAGTCGCGATATAATCATAATCATGCCTATTAAACAAAAAGACAAAATGCCCATCCAATTTATCCATGCTAGACTCGGATTCTGGGAATCTTTTTGAACACCACAATATGCCAACAAATATCGGGTATGCAATCGCTGTCACAATAGCACTTCCGTGCCAAAGAATTCGTTCGATCTCAATTGGAAATGTGAAATTCCATGCCACACAATGAATTGCCCCAAATACCACACCAGCAAGTGATCCCCCGAGCTTTCCGGACGAGGTCCTCCGCATATCATGAAAGCTGAGATTTGGAATCCATGGTGAGTTTTTGCTGACCATGAAAGTAAGGGGTCTACTTTCTGCAATTTGATCAATCTCCCATGGACTGGCGTAGCGCCTAGCGGGTATGATAACTGAGGTTTCAACGTCCTTTGGTTTTTCCAGCAGCAAGACATAAGTGAAAATTGTACATATAGCGAAAGCAAATGACAAAACTTCAAGCTGGCTGGTAGGGGGCTTTGAATAGAGCCGTTCGCTGAGTTGGATTATAACCCACAAGATCTGGCCCATGGCGACCATCTTTACAACAATGTCGCCTTTGTTTCTGTCGGATATATCGCCCTCTGTGACTGCGGGAAGCTTCTGATGCCGTACTCCCACGCTTGATATAGTTGCTTGCCATCCAGCACCCAGATGTCAGCTTTGAGGGATTTAACACTGTCGCGATAACCAGGATCGTAAGATGCTATCGAAGACTCAAGGAGGGCCGTTTCTGCTGAACTCGAGTTGATTTCATCTTCTTTCCAGTCAATCGGGCCTATCCAGCGCGAAAGACGCGAAGCTCAGATATTTACGTATGGATGATGCGCGGTCTCTCCTGTGAGTGACTTGGTTTTGCGGGTGCTGATTTGGATAAGAATACATCCCTGGATCATCCGTATCACGGTTGCCTTCGTCTTGGAGAGGTGCGGGAGCAGTGGCGTCGTCAAACTTCACAGTAAAGCCGCCCATATTTGCGAAATAAATATGGGACTGTGTCCATGGAATATCCTGTTTTTTCTTACTGTTGTCGAAATAGTTTTTCACAGCCGATACTGCGCTGTAGTCGCAGAGAGCTTTCACAAAGGCCCATTCAGGTGATAAGATATTCACCACCATCCAACAGCCCTTCCAAAACGTTCGATAGAGTGCACGGGCGCATTTCTGTTTCCAATTTCGAGGGCTCGATTGGATTGGAACATTTAAATGGAGGACCGACCAAGTGCAAATCAAAATAACTGATAAACATTCCAGATGATATCTAGAGTGCCTCGGGTATTTGGCGATTTGACAAACACCACAGCATCTCCGGGTCGTAGGGTGCAGTTGGGGGAGCAAATCGTCAGGATGTAGATGGTTTCTTCTGCGGTCTCGTTATAAAGTATGTAAAGGTCCGTTCTGGTCTGAGACCTGAAGGCTGAAAGAATTTCGGTTCAGAGCCCTAGTAGATCATCTTATAGTTTTCAGCAAATCCCGCTACGATGGAAAAAAGTGATCTGTATCAAATGCCCAAGCAGCCCGGCGCGAGCTGACTTTCTATGCAGTTTGCTCGCTCAGCCCCTAGCGCTGACCACTTGCAGTTGGCTACTAAAATAGGAGCCCCCAGAGCTGTGTTTTATCGGCCTCTTACGGCGGGCGCTACGAGATACATATGCCAAGCTCCAACATCTTACTCGTGTTTTGATTTTGTTGGCTAGAATGAAACCCTCAGCCTTAAAACTCCTGTTCGTGGCTTTGAGGTTCCTTTTCGGAATACGAGGCAGGTGCAGATACTAGTTTGATGATTGTCCTCACCTTGTATATTCACTGTCTAGTGCGCATAGCGGGCAAGCCATTCGAAGATTAGAAACTTGAACTTTACCGAATCTGACAGCCGAATTGGTATTCAATTCAACAGTCAATTGGATATGGAATACGAGATTATTCCAGTTAAAATATCTTGAATTCGACTGCAACTAGTGTACCTTCTAGTGAGTAGACCCCATGGATGCCTCGTTGCAGAGCCTCACTCAGCCTTATGCCCGCAAACTCTGGCCTGGTCAGTTTGCTCCAGAGTCCTACTACAAGTACTACTAGTAGCTACCTATGATGCGTTTGTTCAGAGAGTCCAAGTTATCTATTGGGGTTTTCAGCCTCCGACCTAGAAAGTTGACTCGGGCTCGAATTTAACCTGGAGTTACTAGTTAGTACTAGTATTTGGTAGGACCTGACTGGATTATAACTAAAAGTCTTATTGGGCTACCTGTGTTGTCGCTGTGAATTTCCTGAAATATTATGACAGCTTTTGATCTAGGTAATATATATCTATCCAGGTGGAAGGTGGACGACGTACCAGCACCGGACCGCCGTGCACTCCACTGGCAGGGCTGGAATATATTTCAAGATTGCTTTGAAAGTACTAGTATGAATTTTAAAACCAGGAAATTTGAAGAGACGGTTTGAATTCAACTGTCCTCCAAGAATCAAGATAGTACTAGTAGCGCCAAAAGAACTTCAAACATCGAAAGCAACTTGAACAAGGTTGGATCCCGCAAGAGTCCACCTGGGCAGCCAACTTGAACGAACCACAATCCTGCCTGGGGCCGCAAATATTTGGAGTCCAATTTTGTTTGCTCGCTGTGGAGACCTCGTGACTAGAGTGGGATTCGATCAAGTACGTAGACTACAATTAACTACAAGGAAGAATGCAATTCGGGTTGTCTGAAGCATTAAATTACCGGAAATCCCAGACCGTATCGCTAATTGACTAAAGAAAACACAGCCTGTGTGCCTAAACAACCCATGACAATAACGTCGTTAAAAGTAAAATTTTTATTGGTGACGAAGAGACAAGCAACCCATCCAAAGGATAGGCCTCTAGACCCAGCGCACACCGAATCCCCCGATTACCGAAGAGAAAACAATCTAGTTCATCTGGCGGATGAGACCGTTGATGTTCTCCTCACGGTTACCGGTGTCACCACCCTGGATGTAGTGCTTGAACTTGCGGGTGCGGAAACCACCGTTGGGGTTGGACAGCTTGAAGGGCCACAGGAAGTTGTTGGCCTGCTTGAAGTTGGGGCCGACGGTGTAGATCTCGTGGATCAAATCCTCCATACAGACAATGCCGTACTTGCCGAGGTTCTCCTCGATAAGCTGGTTGTCGGTCAGGGGAATGCGCATCTTGTCAACCTTTCCGTAACCGCGCTTGTACAGAAGCTCACGGACGGACTTCAGGTTGGGGTAACCGTAGGCGATGTAGGGGTTGACAATGGTCAGCATCTCCTGGGTAGCCTTGGTCAGGCGGATGAAGGTACCGCTGTTGATCTGGATCAGACGCAGCAGCTGGAGAATCTTGCGGGGCTTGGGAGCGATCTTGTTGATACTGAAGGGTGGGTTAGCCAGGTGCTTGGGAATGAGATGGAAGTAAAGATTAAGTGAGAACATACCCCTTGATACGGACAACGAAGACCAGCTTGGGCTCATCCTCAACGTAGAAGTTACCCTCCTGGCGGGCAGCGCGGCCGAGGCGGATCTTCTCGCGCTCTGCGTCACGGTACTCCTTGACGTAGGACTCAGCGCGCTTGAAGATAACACCACGCTTCTCCTTGTTGGCCTATGGGATACTGAGTCAGTAAAGAGGTTCCCAAAAAGCATGGTGATAAGACAAAGTGTATGTGTCATCAACAGGATCAGACCCGAAAGATGGTTGACATGCGACAGCATCGACCTTTTGGTCTAGTCGCGTGGTTGGTGTTGTCATCAGATAGTTGGAGAAGGGTGTGGGTGGGGAAGGAAAGATGCGAAAAATGCATGGGGAGAGGAAACCAACCTTCTTCTTCTCCTCGGCCTCAGCACGACGCTCGGCGCGGGCGGCCTCCTGGCTCTTGCGCTTCTTCAGGAGAGTCTCAGGGACGAGGACATGGTCCTGGGTAGGGACGGAGCTGGGGCAGGTTAGTACAGTCTGTCCGCACAAGTAACAATGACTTGAGACAATTCGCCGAGCGTAAGAACTGCAGCATAGCGCCACATTCTCGAACTGAAGGCAATAGGATAAAACATAACTCGACGAAATGTCTTTGATCAGTGAGGGCTATGGTATCTTGTGGGTGTTTGGTGCTAAAGGGAAGTCCCGCTACTGATGTGCATGTTCCAGCAACAAGGTTCGCAGAAAATTTTCAACCACCCGACAAAGATTTTTCCATGTCCGCCTTCATCCGACAATACCCCAAACAGATGTTCAGGAAGTATGCGTTGACGCTATTCGCTCCATGCACAATGACTGCTGTTACCGCATCGAAGTGTGGAATTGCAAAAGCTGAACAACAATGGTTTTGGAAGAGAAGGCCATCATAGCTTTCAACCTCAAGACTCCGTCGCCCTTTCCTGTCGGTTGTTCACTTGGAGTCGCACAGGCAAATCGAAGGATCGATCGAGCAGGAAGAGGGTGTAGGAAGGATCGAGCTGGTGCCCAGCAGTCATCGTCGGGAACGATGACTGTAGCATCTCCAGCGAGAAAAGGACGACTATACCGGCAACCTCACAATCTCGAAAGATTGAATCAATCAGTAAGGAAGGTAATCATACGTGGTGACGGAGGCCATTGTGAAGGTCGTCGCGAAGATGGCTGTCGGCGAGGTTGTCGGGAAGAAAAAGTTCGACTCCCTCGAACGAAGAAAAGAGAGGATTTCGCTTGTGTGGGTGGATGCCACTAACCATGAAAGGACTAGCGTAACCACCAAACAAGCTAACCAAATATGGACCACCTTACCCTTATCGACGCATATCACGTGTGATTAGGGCTGTCTCGTGCTTCGCGGTCAGATGACCTCATTCAAGTAGGAAGGACCCCGCGTGTCTCCGCAACTGGCAACAACAACACTTCTATTTGGTCATCAGCATGTCTCGTCGTGGTGTTGGGCTGGGTGCCTTTGCCAACCGAACTCAGGCAACTCAATCCTATGCCACCCATGGCGCCAACCTTCGTTCCACCCATCTGTCCTCGCTCCAAACCCAGCTCTCGGTCTTCCAATCGTTGCTCCATACCTTTGCCCTAGAGCACAGTTCAACAATCAAGTCCAACCCAACGTTTCGCGCTGAATTCGCGCGCATGTGTAATACTATAGGCGTGGATCCACTAGCCGCCAGCAATGTTAAGGGCAAGAATAGTCGCCGAGGATTAGGAGAGGGAGGCAGCTTCTGGACCCAGATTATGGGCGGGGATATGAATGACTTCTATTTCGAAGTTGCTGTGCGAGTTGTGGAACTTTGCCGGGAGACACGAGCTGAGAATGGTGGACTTATTGGCGTCGAAGAATGTCGGAACCGGGTAGGTAAGGGGAAAGCAATTGGAAGTGGGCTTGAGGTTTCAGAGTATGATCACCTTTCCCCTTTACCACACCATAGGTGTACCTGCCGAGCGCTACGGGTCACTAACAATACTCTGCTCTTATAGAGATGATATCCTTCGGGCCGTTCGTTCCCTTGAACCTTTAGCGTCGGGCTTCTCTATTGTCCGCGTTGGATCTAAACAATATATTCGATCAATTCCGAAGGAGTTAAATACTGATCAGGCCACGGTACTTGAAGCTATTCAGGTCCTGGGCTTTGTCAGCGTTTCAATGCTGCGACTTAATCTCACGTGGGAAAAGGCTCGCGCACAAACTGTGATTGACGATCTTGTGGCGGATGGTCTCGTTTGGGTGGATGCCCAGGGACCGGAGAAAGAGTACTGGTCGCCGCAGAACCTCTTGGATGACAGTGGATGAAAGGATTCCCACTAAACTGAGTATCAAGCCTCCCAACTCCAATCACGGCCAAAAGTCCTCCGCCGTTTAGACCGAGCATAAACCAGCTCCGAATTGCAAGAATGGTCGCCGGTCAACTAGGTCAACAGGTCACCGGTTCCTAAGTCCACCAATATTTACAGGAATGAAACTATTTAAACCGACGACAACCCGAAGAACACGACTTCAACTAGCCCAATCGTCTTCACCTTGGGGCTTGAAGTGGCTGACAATGTGGGAGCACAAAAATCGAGCCACCACATGTTGTCATGGCGCAGATACCTGAAACTTATTACACAGGTACCGCGGCACTACAGATTGAGCAAATGAAAGGCAGATAGATTGGAGGATTTGCCGGTGCCAAATTATCAACGATACCCATGCCCTATAAATGCGATACCTACCTAGCCTTTCAAGTTAACCTGTTGCATCTAGAACCTACCAGTACATTAATAGTCATCAAGTTCTACATATAATTTGACTGGTGTATCTTCGACTCGAAAAGCTCCAATCTTCTTTAGTAGCAGCCATCTAACATCTATAATTTAGAACCTCAAATGGTAGATCAGATCTTAATCACCTCCTGGACCCTTCTGTTCCGGTCAACCACCAGTCGGAGTTGGCGATCCTTCCACTCGGATTCGGATGTCGAGGTGTTCTGGGTAGGCTTGAAGACACCCCCGCGGAGTGTATCGGTAAAGAGTTCATAGGAGGGGTAATCTGTCGTACAATTAGTATTGTGTCCATGCAAGCTGTGGGAAAGTATAATACGAACAGCCATCCACGAAGTGGTTCACCTGATCTTCGGTCATGCCGGTGCCCTTAGTGGCACGCAGACCGCGCTCCTGCTCCTGACGCCATTCATAGACGAATCGGAGATTCTGCGCATCGCTAGTCCAGAAATTAGTATTGAACGCCGCTTCAATATACACCGTCATCAACCTACATATGAATCAAAGCGTCGAGTTTGCTTTTTAGAAGTCAGCCACATTCAATAACCACACTCAGTCATTCCCCGAAAGGGGATCAAACTCACTCAGTCAAAGCATTGTATCTCTTCAGCGACTCATTAACAGTCTTCACATCCTCAAACCGGACATGCCCCAATCTTCCCTGATAATCACCACTCTCTTTCTGCCTCACTGCATCCTCCCAGAGCGTGCGCAGGGTATTATCGTCCCGCGGCCGGAACCCAACACACCAGCCCTCAAAGATGACAACCTTGATCTTCTGCTGTCCCTCGGCATTCACGACTTCCCACTGCGACTCGGGCACTCGGTCTCCTTGACCGGCAAATGCAGACTTATCATACTGCGGGATGGCGGTTGGAAGCTCCGCAGCGAGTGAGGCGAAGACTTTCTCTCCGAGCGCTAGGTCATGGGTTGATGGCTGGCCGCGGTGTTGGAGAAGGGGATTTGTTGGGTGAGCTTGTGCGAGCGCGACTTGATCAGCGTGGGTTAGATATATATCGTCCAGAGACCAGGTCACGACGGAGAGTGAGTATGGCTCGGCACGGAGGGTATCCTGTAATGTTGACACCTGCGGGTCATTGTTAGTTGCATTGATTGCATGGCACTACGCCGAGGAGGAGTATGGAGCATAGCATGGAGACCGGGGAATCGCTCGGGACAGGTCAGGGTAGGAAGTAGACCGACTAGCCGTCCCGAGGTATCAGAGAGAGAGATAGGCCGGTCGGAGTTCAACGTACCAACACCGTCTTGCCGGCGCCCTGCACGCCATTGAGGCCTAGGAAGAATGGCGGGGTATCGGCATTGGTGTTATTTTTATGACGGTCTGCGTGGGCGCGGAGACGCTCGAGCAGAAAAGGTATACAGTGTTGTGACTTGTCGTCTATTATCGGCATTTTGTGGGGTGGTTTTGCCTTGAAGGGGGATGTTTCTATGGGGTTGACGGGCTAATGCTAGTTTTATTCTATCGGCTACAGTGGCCGGCAAGTTGTCCGATCGGGCGGAATCTGGAATCTGGGGTCGCGGGGTAGACATTAAGGGGTGTACTGCTTCTATCGGGCGAGACAATCTAGCTGTAGAGAAGACTTCACTATCCATGGTCTTTCTGGGATGCTTCCAAAAGTGTCAAATAGTCGACCTAGATATTAATTGATGATTAAATCATGCATTGATTACAGTGTTGCAAGCACATGGCGATGACGTTGCCTGTCACATGTCTGAGTCAGCGGGACTCGGTATGGATAAAACAGAACAAAATGGCATAAACGGGAGCCAAAAAGGAGATGTAAGATGGGTCAAGGGCCATGAACAGTGCATGAAATGTCCGGCATAGAAAAAAGTATCAATTACCTTCTCCTTACTAGAATACTCGACTGCGGACTCCTCCGTAGTGGTGGCCGGCAGTCGGCATGTGAAGCAACCGTGTAATGTAAGGTAATTCCCCCCATTTCTTACAGCGCAAACGAGCCGAGGTCTGTGGCTGCCCCAGCTCTCGGTTGACCGAGCTCATCCTTAAACTCCCCTCTTCCCCTTCTTCTCTTCCCTTCAGTTCGAGCTTTCTTTGAGAACTGTTTGAATCGGACTTCTCATCATACACAAATAATGTCCGATCTACGCTTTGATAACCAGACGGTCGTCGTCACCGGCGCCGGCGGCGGTCTGGGAAAGGCATATGCCCTCTTCTTCGCCTCAAGGGGCGCTAACGTCGTGGTCAACGACCTCGGTGGTTCTCACAAGGGTGACGGCAAGTCATCAAAGGTATGTAAATTTCTATGAAAGACAATATTGGTGTTCCCCAGCATCCGCTAACATCCTCAAGGCCGCAGACCTCGTTGTCGAGGAGATCCGCGCCGCTGGCGGTAAGGCGGTTGCCAACTACGACAGCGTCGAGAACGGTGAGGCCATCATTGAGACTGCCGTCAAGAATTTCGGCCGTATCGATATTCTCCTCAACAATGCTGGTATCCTCCGTGATATCAGCTTCAAGAACATGAAGGACGAGGACTGGGACCTCATCAACCGCGTTCACACCTACGGCGCATACAAGGTAAGCAAGCCATAGATGCTTAAAGAAGATTCCTCCAGAGTGCCAGTACTGATCTATTTATTCTTCAAATAGTGCGCTCGTGCCGCTTGGCCTCATTTCCGCAAACAAAAGTTTGGCCGCGTTATCAACACTGCCTCCGCTGCTGGTCTCTTCGGTAGCTTCGGCCAGGCCAACTACTCGGCCGCCAAGCTGGGTCAGGTCGGTTTCACCGAGACTCTGGCTAAGGAGGGTGCTAAGTACAACATTATCGCCAACGTCATTGCCCCCATCGCTGCTAGCCGCATGACCGCGACGGTGATGCCCCCAGATGTTCTGGACAACCTCAAGCCCGACTGGGTTGTTCCTCTTGTTGCTCGTCTGGTTCACTCCTCCAACACCACCGAGAGCGGTGGCATCTACGAGGTCGGTGGTGGCCACGTTGCTAAGCTCCGCTGGGAGCGATCCAAGGGTGCTCTGCTCAAGACCGATGACTCCCTCACCCCCGGAGCTCTGGCCGCTAAGTGGAACGATGTCAACGACTTCTCCAAGCCTGAGTACCCCTCTGGCCCCGCTGACTTCATGGCTTACCTTGAGGATGGCCTGAAGTTGTCTTCCGCCCCTAAGGCTCAGGAGCCCGACTTCAAGGGCCGTGTTGCTCTCGTTACTGGTGGTGGTGCCGGTCTGGGTCGCGCATACTGCTTGCTGTTCGCTAAGTACGGTGCCTCCGTTGTTGTGAACGATCTCGTCAACCCCGACAATGTCGTCGAGGAGATCAAGAAGGCCGGTGGTAAGGCTGTTGGCAACAAGGCCAACTGTGAGGACGGTGATGCTGTCGTCAAGTCCGCCATTGATGCCTTCGGTCGCATTGATATCCTGGTTAACAACGCCGGTATCCTGCGTGACAAGGCTTTCACCAACATGGATGACAACCTGTGGAACTCCGTTATCAACGTTCACCTGCGTGGTACCTACAAGGTCACCAAGGCCGCCTGGCCCTACTTCCTCAAGCAGAAGTACGGTCGTGTTGTCAACACTGCCAGCACCAGCGGTATCTACGGAAACTTCGGACAGGCCAACTACGCCGCCGCCAAGCTCGGTATCCTGGGTCTCTCTCGCACTCTCGCCATGGAGGGTGCCAAGTACAACATCAAGGTCAACACCATCGCTCCTAACGCCGGTACTAACATGACTCGCACCATCATGCCCGAGGAGATGGTCCAGGCTTTCAAGCCCGACTACGTTGCTCCCCTGGTTGTTCTGCTGAGCTCCGACGCTGCTCCCGAACCCTCCACCAAGGGTCTGTTCGAGTGCGGTAGCGGTTGGTTTGGCCGCACCCGCTGGCAGCGCTCTGGCGGCCACGGCTTCCCCGTGGACGTCAAGCTCACCCCCGAGGAGGTCCTTGCCAAGTGGCCTCAGATCACCAACTTCGAGGACGGCCGTGCCGACCACCCCGAGGATGGCTCTGCTGGTACTGAGAAGATCATGGCTAACATGTCCAACCGCGCCGGTGGCAGCGGTGAGAACGAGACCCTGGCCAACATCGAGAAGGCCAAGTCTCTCACCACCGAGGGCAGCGCCTTCGACTACACCGACCGTGATGTTATCCTTTACAACCTGAGCCTGGGTGCCAAGCGCACTGACCTGCCTCTGGTGTATGAGAACAGCGAGTACTTCCAGGCTCTGCCCTCATACGGTGTGATCCCCTGGTTCAACACCCAGACCCCGTGGAACATGGATGATATCGTGAAGGACTTCTCTCCCATGATGCTGCTCCACGGTGAGCAGTACATGGAGGTCCGCAAGTTCCCCATCCCTACCACTGCCAACACCCTGACCTACCCCAAGCTCATTGACGTCGTCGACAAGGGTAACGCTGCCCTGGTCGTCGCTGGCTACACTACCAAGGATGCCAAGACCGGCGAGGATCTGTTCTACAACGAGTCGACCGTCTTCATCCGTGGTAGCGGTGGTTTCGGTGGCTCTCCCAAGCCTACCGCTGTTCGCCCCAAGGGTGCCACCGCAGCCTACAAGGCTCCTCAGCGTGCCCCCGACGCTGTTGTCGAGGAGAAGACCTCCGAGGACCAGGCTGCTCTGTACCGTCTGAACGGTGACCGCAACCCTCTGCACATCGACCCCGAGTTCAGCAAGGTCGGTGGCTTCAAGACCCCTATCCTTCACGGTCTGTGCTCTCTCGGCGTTGCGGCCAAGCAGGTCTTCGCCAAGTACGGTGCCTACAAGAACCTCAAGGTCCGCTTCGCCGGTGTCGTGCTGCCCGGTCAGACTCTCAAGACTGAGATGTGGAAGGAGGGCAACACCGTGCTCTTCCAGGCTACTGTTGTCGAGACTGGCAAGCCCGCCATCACCGGCGCTGGTGCGGAGCTCCTCGAGGGCGCCAAGGCCAAGCTGTAAAATAATCATGATGTCAATCTTTGTGGATGAAGCGTTTTTGCTCTTTGAATTGACCTGGCCATTGGCACACAAGAGAGCTGGGATGAAAAAGGAATTCCAGATCGAATGTGGCTTCTTGGTTTCAAGTTGTGTATGTACATAAATTTGGATTGTTCAAGTTCTTTGTTTTATTTATCTATTCCCACCAATGAGACATCTCGGAAATTGGAATCTTGGAACTTTGTACTCCATAAGTACCGTACTAGATCTACATAATCTTGCGGAGTACGGAGTACTACTCCGTACTGTGTACAAATTGTAGGTAATCAGAGTGGATCCATTCTATCCTACGCATTCCAATGGATATCATCCATTCTCTCGTTATCGGAACTACCTTGAGGTATAGGATTCTTGGGTTATCAGCCCATGGTGGACTGATACATCGCTGGTGCAGCCGACGCGACTTCAGCGCAAGGGGTGCTCTAGAACTCCACCGGCCCGGAGATAGCCTCATTAGGACTAGATGCAGAGTAGGAGGCTTCACAGATATTGTACAGAATGCAAGCAGGGTCTTTTCAACTAGTAGCCAAGGGTCCTGTGATCCGAACTGAGTCAGTATCTCTTGGTATAGGCAGGCAACACCATATTGTAGTCATAGTGCCCGCCTTATGTAACCGGGGTTCTTAGTATTTGGGAGCGTGGCCCTTCATTCTTCCAACAAACACACACCCTCACTCCTCCTACTCCGACTCACCCTGGACCCGACCATGTAGCAGACACCCTATCGTATCTCCCACCATGGTGCTCTCGCTGTCGGTTCCCGGCTTCTCCAGATCTTCATCCTCCACCTCCACCACTCCCCCGCGCCCCGCCGACGGCAACGCGCCCGCACCGCAGCCGCAGCCGCAACAGCAACAGCAACAGCAAACACAGCCAGAACAAATACCGCAACCACAACCCCGACGCCGTGCCTCTGCAACTGGCTCCTCCTCCAGCTCCTCTTCCACTAAACGCAACTCCTGGAGACCTTCCATACTAGCAGGTTCCTCAACATCACCAAGCAACCCTTCCATCACCCTCGAAGCACTGAGAAATAACCCGTTCGGGAACACGTCACGATCTCGCTCAATTCAGGTCTCCGCCGAGGAAATAGAGGAGCAGATAAGAGAGCAGGAAGAGCTCAATGATGCACTCGAGCACCTCGCGCGGATATTCCCCGATGTAAGAATCGAGGTCTTCCGCGAGTTGTTGGTACGATTTGATGGCCAGAGCCGACTACAAGTCTGCGTGGAACAACTGCTCCGACATAAGAAAGAATGGGTATCTGGTCGTTGGAATCTCCCGAACGGAAACCGAGATGGGGGTGGAGAAGATGAGAATAAGAAAGACGATCGGGCTACCGCATTAGCAGACAACGCGGCGACAGCGGAGACTCTAGTCCCAGCCGAGGAACGCTTTCGATCCGAGGGATACAAACTTGCA